CAGAAGCTTTCCAACGATCCCCAGCAACAACAGCAGCAGCAAATAATGCAGCTTATTACGCACCAACAACTACCGCAACGCACGCCACCCCCGCAGCAGCAGCAACAACAACAACAATTGCTGCTCCAGCAACAACAGCAATCTCCGCAAAACCATCAGCAAATGCAGCAACAGCATTGGTCGCCCCAGGTGATTGCAACTCACAAAATTATCATTAACGTTGCTATAAACAAAAAAGTTTTCTTAAAAAATCAATCCAACAACATTTTTTAATCGGATTTTAGTTGTTGATATGTGTTTTTTTAACACAGAACAATGTAATTTAAATTTTCCCCTTATTTTTTCAGAGCCCTGCTGGCCAGGTTGCGCCCAGCACTCCCGGAACACCAACGAGCGTGGGGATGCAGTCACCGTTGCCCTTGCCCGGCGGACCAACTACGCCGCAGCCTCAGACACAGCAGCAATTCGTTCCACGAGGTCTGCGCCCGCAAACCTCTTGGCCCGGCCAGCCACAGCAGCAGCAGCCGCAACCTCCTCAGCAGCAGCAGCAGATCGTGCTGCCGCCACCTCAACAACAACAACAGCAGCAGGTTGGCCAGCAACAACATCTGGTATTACAGCAGCCACAGCAACAGAAAATAGTGTTGGATGAGAAAACGCACTCGCACCTGATGTCGTTGGATGCTCTCAAGCGAGCGGAATACATCGCCAAGTTAAATACGCAAAACAAACCACGGGTAATGCTTCGGCAGCAGGTTGCCTACCAGCCACGACCCGGGGCACCGGGCAGCATAGTCGCCACACGTCCCACCGGTCCAGTTCCGCCGGGGCACATTATTGTCCAACACCAAATGCCACCTGGTTTAACACAACAGCAACAGGTGCTCTGGCTGCAGCAGCAGCAGGGCAAGCGACAGGTTGTGGTACGCGCCGGGACTCCTGGTCTGAGTCCGATTCAGCAGCAGCCGGGAGTGGGAGCTCCGCAGCAGCAACAGTCGCCACAGCAACAGGCCTTTAACCCCAATGATCCTAACCAGCAAATGCTAATGCAGCGCCAACAGTTGCGAGTTCAGCAGATTCCCATCCAGCAACAGGGTCCGCAGCAGATGGGTAAGCAAACGGTGCAGCTCATGACTGCACCCAACGGTCAGCTAATTGAGCAGCAGACAATCGTCCAACAGCCGCAGCAACAGTCCACCCCGGGCACGCCCACCACTCCAGGCGCTGGGGGAGTTCTGTCAGGAAATCCCAACATAATGACACAAACCCTGGTCATGACATCAACAAGTGAGTTCAATTATTACATACAACCTATTGCAAGGACCCAAATTTGTTTAGGATGGGATAGCAATAATTTATTATTTTAATGTTCGTATAATAACCCGCACCTTTATACATAGCTCCCGATGGACAGCCGCAACAAACGCCGCAGCAAATGAACCTGAAAACAAAGACGGCCCTGGCCAACATGTTGAGCAATCGATTAGGAAACAATGGAGCTCAGACCCCGCAGCAGCAACTCATTCAACTGACCGATGGGCAGCAACAACAGCAGCCCCAGCAGCAGCAGATTGTGCAGCAGGTTGTGGTAACCGGAGCCATTCAGCAGCAACAGCAACAGTTGCTACTACAACAACAGCAGCAGCAGCAGCAACAACAACAAATGGTGGTCCAACAGCAACTGGCGCCTCAGCAGCATGTCGAGCCACCGTCGGCAGCTGGTGCCCTTAGAATGATGGGCCAGCAGCACAGCGCCTCTGCCGGAGTGCCTGGACCTCCGAGAACCCAGCAGGAGTTGCTTATTCTGCAGCAGCAACAACAGCAGCAGCAGCAACAACTGCTCCAGCAACAGCAAATGCGCAGAGTTGTTACTCTTCCGCAGCAGCAGCAGGCACCGCAGCAGCATCTGGTTCAACAGCAGATAGTTGTGGCTCCGCCACAGTCGCCGCAACAGCAGCAACAGATGGCTGTGGGTGTGGGTGTAGGTGTGCCAGTGCAGCGGACACCTCACGGATACATTCAGGCCCGTCCCGGACAGCCGCCCATACCGATGCCGCAGTTCTACGGTCATAATCCAAACTTAAAGCTGCCGGCTGATCTCTTCCTGGTGGGATGCACGTTCTTCATCGTGGAATACGACGAAACAGACGGCGATGAGCTTCCCATCTGGCTAGATACGATCAGGCAGTTTGGTGGCGACATCGAGCGAGTCTACTGCCCCCGCGTGACCCACGTCATTTGTCGCACTCAGCGGCACGGTGTTGTGATGCAGGCGTTGCGGGATGCTAAGCGATGTGTCACAGCCTACTGGCTGAGTGATATTTGCTTAAAGCGGCAACTGATGCCTCCGTGGCAACCACTTCACTTGCCTTTCCCCAGCCAGTTTGGCTATCGCAAGCCGTTGGAACGCTACATAATCACCTCTGAGGGATTCGAAGGCGAGGAGGTGGTCCGGCTGCAGCAGATGGCCGAGGAGTGCGGAGCCATCTACACTTCCTATCTGTCCAAAGTGAACACGGTGGTCGTGTGCAAGCAGCTCGAGGGCAACAAGTTCAATGCAGCCAAGGAGTGGAACATCCCGATGGTCAATGCCCTTTGGCTGAGCGACGTCTGCATCGGAAATCTTAGTGGCCTCTCGCAATACGACAATCCCAAGTACCAGCAATACAATCTGGTCGCTCCCTTCCGCATCGAATGCAATTTGGTGGCGCATCTGCTAAGTAAGTATTAATTTATTTAATTGCTGCCCTGTTTTATTGAAAGCTTATTTGGATTTTTCTTGTTCTAGCTGCTTGGAAGGCGCCAATCAACCTCACACAGGAGGCGCACGAGCGGGTCAAGCGTCATCTCTCTGATCCCTATGGCAACGAGCACAAACTTAAGCGCCAGAAGATGAACTCATTCCAACAGGAGCAGCTGCCAGAGCAAATTGTGTGCCTGGAATATCCCACAACCACCAAGCCACCAAAGGTTATTTTCTCCCAGGTCGCAGATGCCGAGGCACTTAAAAAGGCAGTGTTGTAAGTAATAACACATATTTTGCCTAGACTCGAATTTCAACAACTTAATTTTCTTTATCTTTTAGGATTTTGGGTGGAATTGTGGTGGACAGCCCCGCAGATGCCACTCACCTGGTCATGACACGCGAGAGTCGTACCTGCAAACTGATTCAGGCCTGCTGCCATGTGGACTATGTGCTCAAGTCGAGCTGGATTGCGGATAGTGCCAAAGCTGGTAAATTTGTACCTACCGATTCATATCGCATCCAGCACATACCGGTGGACGAGAACCTGCAGTTCAATCTGAACACCGTGCTTTGCGCACCCACTCGTTCCACGCTATTTGCGGGAAAATACTTTTACGTGACGCCAGACGTTTTCCCTGCGCGCGAGGAAATAATCCGAATGATTGAATCGTCCGGGGGCAAAGTGGAGCCGAAGCGGAGAAGTGGTGCAGCAGTGGCGGAAACACACATTCAGGCGCCCGACTCGTACTTCATCGTGACCTGTCCCACAGACATGCATCTCTGCGCCGATCTCACGCGTCATGGCAACCCAAAGTGCCACATTGTGTCCACGGAGTTCGTCATGAGCTCGATACTCAGGCAGCAGCTGGAGATCGAGCCCAACCTGATACCCTACTTGTATAACAACAACAACATCAATAGCTGCAACAGTAACAAGTCCTAGCGCCGAGTGTTCTGGTTATTGTAGACCCAAGATATGGTCTCAGACTTACTGTATAGTTACAAATGAATTTATGCGAGCTGTTATATAAGTATGTAAGTGCATGGCAGTGTGAAAACTGAGCTGCTTTAAAGAGGCATCGATCGACTAATGCAAATAATATAGCCTGCAAATTCTTATGATATACCAACACGAAACTAGTCCACAGAATTCGTCAATTCATAAAGGCTTTGCTAGAGCCGTAGAGTTTTTAGGGTCTTGGGCACATAGGCATATCGGTCATCGTAAACGTAATGCATCCCTAGATATTAAGATTATTTTCGTCTACTATTTTCCTTTTCTTTGTGTTGTAAATATATATTTTTAAGAGCATTATCTTCTCGTTTAAATATGCTAATAAATAGATTATATGTTCAAATAATTTTAGTTTACTTTCTGATGACTACTCCTTCTTACCATATTAATTTTTGAACAATTTTTGGACGGCCCTTATCGTTTTGAAAATTATTTTTTAAGAGCTCGACCGATATGTGTAGAAATATATAACGTAGCACGTAACAAAGAACTACCTTAATAAGTGTTAGGATAAAAGATGCATACAATCATTTTATATATTTTTATAGGTTCAGGAACCTTTAGCTTTAGGAAGTCACACAAATATACACATATATTTCCTAGAGTATACGAAACGTTTCACAGAAATTGATATTGTCGGCTATTAGTATATTAAGTACTTTTCAAATAGGTAAAGCCAATATTTTCCGAATTAATATTAATACTAGTTAGGCATTGTACGAAATGTATGAAAAATAAAATAATGTTAACTCAAAATCTATTATTGTGGGTTTGAATCTATTTTTAAATTGAACAGACTGGTACTTTCTTATCGTTTACACACAAGATTGAAATTCCCAATAGGTTACAGTGACGCATTTTCCCAAGGATGGAACGGATAAAGAATGAGTCATCTTGTGTTTTGGATTGGCATTAGCCTGGATGACTTGATCTGGCTTTCAAGACTTGCTCTTCGTTTTTTGGAAGAAACTGGACTATTAATTGCTTCTTACCCAATGAAAATAGGAATCGTCAATTATCATCAGCAAGGTGTTAACTTCTAATCACTTTTCCATTTCCCTTTGCTTTTACCAAAATTTATTATATTTGATGAACATATGCAGCCATATTTTTATTCCAATAAGTATAAATTAACTACCTAAATAAAAAACATTTTCTATATTTTCATTTTATTTTCGTTTTATTTGTGTTTTTCGGTTTTTTGTTTATTGGTAAAGAATCTTATGAATTCATTTGTAATGTATTTTACAGACGAAGCTTGCTTGCCGACTTCTTTAGGAGGCATGCTTGTGTTTGTGTTTAGTAAACAATTAACGTATTTAATTTACATCAGTTAAACCAAGATAGACTTATGACTAAAACCATTATGCTTAGACTTACAATTCAAATTCGCACTTATTAAGAATCTAGGTTTAGAGTAAAAATTATTACGAGTAGGTATTTTTCTTTCAAATAAGTTATAAATAATTTCGTTTATGTTTTATGCTAGAACTATCAAAATCTGTATTACGAAAACTACGAATTCTTCCATCCATATATATGCTTTACAGATAACTATAAATAGGTTTATAATAGGTCTTGTTTGTATTGTACAGCGCTAAAAAAATTAACAACATACGTTCCATAAAATCGTCTTAGTAAACTTCATTGAATATATTACACTATTAAAGTTGCGTAGGCATATTTACAGAAATAAAAGTTAAATTTAAATTAAAAAGCGCTTCGCCTAAGACCACCTGCATAATTTTCTTATGTGGTTAGTGTAAGAAATAAAATTTCATATGTACAAAGTTATATGTATACACTATTTTTCCACATAGTTGTTAAAAACAGATTTGTAAACACCTTTACAACTTATTCGCAATTTTGTGTCTAGTTTATTCTCAATAACTAATCCTTTCTGAATTGATAGTGGCAAAATGTTTTTCACAGGGTCAAAATGAGTTGAATTTCTTTTTTTTAAGTGTGCACATTAGTGACAAATGAAAAATGCAGCAGCAAGGAACATATACAAAACAATCAATGTACAGAGTTTACGTATACATTCCTCGATGTGCATTGATCATAATAAAATCCTTTAAAACTAATGACAAGCTATAAAAATAAAATATGTTACTTAAATAATTCGTAAATGTTTTATTTTATACAAAATTCGGAAAAGTTAAAAAAAAATTAAGCCTAATTACGAAAATGGCTTCGGAAACTGTCCCCTGCTGCCTCTATTTACATTTTTTACGCGTTTCATCCAATTAACCCTCGCTTTGTACTCTTTTTAACTTACATCACTTGCTTAATAAGATAACAAGTATTTTTGTATTTTCTCCATTTGTTTGTATCTGGTTTTTTAAAAATAATATTTACAGTGTTTTAGTCCCGGATTCTGTTTTCTTGGTCTTGATTAACGTTCTTATTTTATATTGTTTGCCAAGTTCTGCTCTAGGTAGTGGATTTTTAAATATTGCTTGCATTTTTAAGTCTGGCTAATTTTATTTGGGTAGATATTGTAGGTTACCGAGTTAAATATATTTTTTCTTTTATTTCTACGATTACAAGTAATTCAAAGTTTAAACGAAAGTTACACAAATTATATTTTGTAGGGATGGATACATCCCGATCTACTTCCGGCTCCTCGGCGATTGAATAAACTTAATAACTAAAAATACATATTCAATTACTAAACGAGCCAAGAGTGGTTTCTAACATCTCAATAACTTCAATTTTGGCTGCCTAATATAATTACATATTATATTGTATTATAGGTGTTTAGCATGTACACGTGCATATATATTGTAGGTTTCTTGTTTGTAAGTAATTTAAGCGGCTTGTTTGCTGTGACAAAAACGATACTATTAAATAACTAAGTAGTTTAGTAGAACGTTTATCCTCCTCTCCCGGATTTCCCAAATGGTTTTGCTAAGCAAAATGTTCTTCGCTTTGAAATATACATCCATTAATAGCATTCGCTTTGCTTGTTGAGCTCAATCGACATGTATGCAGGTCATACTATATGCGCGTTGTGATTTTCTTTAATTTAGTGTTTAAAATCAAGGAACGGTTAGCTTTTGTGTTTGGTGTGGGAAAGGTGTCATCTAAAATAGCAAATTGGAATCCTTCTGCAGTTTAGCTTTTGTTGATGTCGGATTATTATTATTTCGTCATCAGTTTGTAGTTTGGTTTTCTGTGGATAATCAAGTGTTTAAAAATGACTTTTCCTTTTTAAGCTTTTTTACTCACCTCTTCAGATGCCATCTCGCCTGTTTGCCGCCGTTGTCACCTTTTCCAAGGCACTCGCAGCGGCGCCTGTGCCCAATCGATCGATAACCCGCGAGTCACACGAGATAGTCCGCTGCAAGCACCGCGATCGCTCGCTCATCTTCTCCTGCTGTTGCTCGAGAAGTGTAGGTGCAGCATTAAAGTGGCCACCTACAGATAAGAAGCGATTTTAAACCTTACACTTGGGATTTTTAAAAACTTTACTTACCTTTTGGCTTGTCATCAAACATGTGCAGCTTTTGAGCCGTGCTCAGGATGCTGTTGACCGTGCTCAAGGTGGTGGCTGCTGGATCTACTAACGCATTCTTGGTCGGCATCCTTCCGCTGGTGACGCCTAGAGCGTGCTGCAGATGGATACCGCTAGTGGATCCGCTCTTGATGCTGCTGCTGCCCTTGTTGTTGTTGAGATTAACGTTCAGTTGCGGGTGGTGGTGTGCACTGATTGAGTTTCGCCGCTCCCGGATTGCGGCTTGGAATCGCTCCGGCGACTGCAGAGAGCACTTATTAATGGTCTGCGGCTTGACGAAGCAGCGATCCTTGTTGGTGCCCGTTGGCGTGGTGGGAGTGGTCGGAGTTGTGGGTGTTGTAGGCGTGGTGGGTGCCGTATCCACAGAAGGGCGGTGTCGCATCCGGTACTCGCTGATGGAAAGCTTACGTTTCGGCATGGGCGTGGGATCTGGTACAGTGAGCATGGGATTCAGTCGCGGGTCATGACTGGCGGTTCGCGTGTACAGCTTCAGTGGTGTGGTGGCCGGTGGCGGCATTTCAAGGGATGCAGCTGCCACTGTTGCTGCGACTATGTTGCTACTAACTGGCGTAACTGCTGCAATGCCAACAGGTTTGACTGCCGCTGTCGCTACTGCTGCTGCTGCTGTCTTAGCTTTTGTAGACTCCAGATATTCGGCCAAACTTGGCATGGTGTTAGTAATGGGACTGGGGTTGCTGGTTGGCGTCGGAGGATCCTGCAGCTTGCCGTAGATGGTGTTATAGAATGGCAGCGGCGTAACCTTGGTGGAGCAGTTGTTGACCAAAGGTTGGGGTGGATGGATCGCAGTAGGTGTGGGCTGGGTTATCAATACTGGGATGGGAGCTGCCTTTGGCGTGGTAATCGGAATCGGAACTGAAACTGGAGTGGCAGTCGGCATTGGAGTCGGATTGGTAGCAGTGATTGGAGCCGGTAGTGCTGGCCTCTGTATGTGGTTTGTCTTTAGCTTGCTGTCCTTCTCCTTGTCCTTTTCTCGTTCCTTGTCCTTGTCCTTTTGCTTCTCGTGCTTCTGCTTCTCCCGATCCTTTTTCTTGCTTTTCTTTTTCTCCTTCTTTTCCTTCTTTAAGGCTGCCGCAATGAGTGCCTGTTGCCGGCTGCCACACATGGACTCCCTTCGCCGACTGATAGCAGTTAGTTTTCCGCTGGCAATGGCAGCAGCCAGGCTCATAGGTCCTCCACTGGCGGGATGCGCCTCCTGGTGGTTGTTCTCCTTGCGATGCTGCTGCTGTTGAACCACCGTGGGCATGGGCATGCCAACCACCGTGGGTGGGGCGAGCGGCAGTCCGAGTCCCTTGCTGCTGTTCAGAAGGATGCTGCTGCTCAGGATCTGACTGTTCGGCTTGGTAAGCTCCTGCTCGAAATTAGTCTGCCTCTTCTTAGCTGTGGGCGGCGTACCCAGCAGTGATGAGACCATGGGCACCGGAGTAGGCGTGACTGGTGTAATACACATGGACATGGTGCGACGTCTCATTTGCTGCTGCTGCTGCTGTTGCTGCTGATCAGCATTGTTGTGTGCCATGTGTTTGGTCTTCCCATTTGCCGTAGCAGCCGGTAGACTAGGTGGCAAAAGAACCGGAGCTGTCATCGGTTTACTCTCTGGCTTTGTTGGCTGCGACGTCTTTTTCTTCGCCTCAACGACTGGTAGAGTGGGAATAGCAGACGCCTTAAGCTTGTCCTTTTCCTTAGACTTTTTCTTGTCTTTCTTGGATTTTTTGAGCTGCTTTTCCTTCTCTCGCTTCTCCTCCTTATCCTTGGACGATTTTTTAGACTCTGCGCCACTGCCGCCGCTGCTGCTATTGCTCTTCTGACTGGAGGACGCGGATACCGAGACTGCTGTAGCTTTCTTGTTTCTGGACTGCAGGTAGGAAATGTTTGCTGCATGGAAGGACAGCAAACGTTCCTGTATATCGTGTTCGGTGAGATTTTTGGTACTGGGGGGAGCAGTTCCGGTTGTTAATGCTGCGGCCGTTGAGTTGGCTGTCGCCGATGGAGTTGCATTTGATGCAACTGCTGCTGGAACCGGAAGTCCCGAAAGTGGTGGTGCTGCAACGGCTGCCGATTCCAGTTTAGGCTTTTTCTTTTGAGGCTCATCCTCCAATTTAAGAGGTGGCTGTCGAGCTTTGACTGCCACTTTGCTCACGTCGAGCAAAGTGGCTGCCGCAGCTGCGGCCGCTGCCGATGCAGTTGCAGTCGCTGTCGTGCGCAGCAGAGATTCGCCCGGCTTGGGTTCCACTTTCGCCGGCTCCTTTTTAGGCGGCACTAGCTCTGGGGTTGCCTCCACTTTGGGCACCGCTGTGACAATGTTATTTTCAACTTTCGGTTCTACTACGGAGGGTTCAACTTTGGGTGCCTGCTGCTCCGACTGTTCAAGCAGCTGCTGGTTTTGCTGTTCACGTTGCTCCTCCTCCTCGCGCTTCACCTTGACCATTTCCTCAAACTTATCGCATGCCTGGCTCTCCTCGCGTTCCACATCAATCTTAACGTCATCGGCGGCTGCACTCGTGTCCTCTGGCTCGATCTTGACCAGATTATCCTCGGCCACTATTTGATGGGTCCCCGGACTGGGCGAACGCAGGATGTCCACATCGTCGTCCTGCTCTTGTTGATTTTCTGTTTCTACCTTAAGGGCAGGCATACTGCCAGACTCCTCTCCCTCCTCCTTGGGCTCTCCGATAACATCGATGTGCGGCTCTTCAGCTTCCACATTCGATCCATTGCTAACGACCACCAGTCGCCGCTTCTTTAGCGGTGTACTGAATCCATTCGCCAATGGCGAGACGGTTGGTGCCGGCTGAGGGGAGGGTGTGGCAGGAACTGTCTGGTTTAGCTGCTGCTGAATTTCTTCAACCGGAGTGGTCTCTTCGCTGATAGCCTGTCGCAGCCAGCGCTTCTTCACAGATGAATTGTTCTGCAACGGCAGATGCAGTTGCTCTCGGGCAGCGACTGAAGTCGTGGACTCCGCCTGATGAATAAACTGCTCCACCTTAAGTAGTGCCGGCGCTGGCGAGGATTGGCCTTCGGGTTGATGGTGTAATTGCTCCCGTTCGCCGTTGATTTCGCTCATAGCCGCCTGTACGAGGCTATCCAAGCCAGAGGCATGCTGTTGCTCCGCTTGCTGGAACCAGCTGGACATGAGCGACTTCTTGGTCTTGGCCCCGCCGGGCGGGTACTTGAACTCGCCCACCGAAGGCGACGCTGTCGCCGGTGCCGGCTGTTGCTCCAGAGGTCCCATGGCAGCCTCGATCAGCAGGCAGGCACTACTCACAGAGGCTGGAGTCGCTGGCAGGGAGTGCGATTGGGATGAGGGCGATTTGAATGACTCATTCGGCGAGGAGTTGTTGTGAGCCAAAGCTAGAAGAAGTCCTGCGGCCTGATCCTCTGATCCACTATGATGCAAATGTGGATGCTGCACCTGGTCCTCCGATTCCGAATTGGTCAATGCATGCGACTCGCCATCTGACTCCACTAGGATGCTCTTCCTCCGTTTGTTGTTGCTGCCTCCCGGACCCAAGCCATTGGTGTTGTTGTAGCTGCGACTCACTTTACGCTTCTTCTTGTTCCGACGCTGAGCAGCTGCCGCCGCGGATGTGGTGCTTGTTGGCGTGTCCACATCCTCGCTGATGGAGTTGGAGCTACCACGCTTGTTGGGCGAGGCGGGCGAGTTACTCGCCTGACGCTTGCCACCGCTACTCTGACGTGTCTCCTTTTTACCGCGTGCTTGCTGTTTCTCCATTTTCTCAATCGCTCGCAGAATGGCTTCCAACTTGCGATCTTCGCGCGACTGCTTCGGTTTATCCTTGGCCGTCGTTCCCGTGCTGGGTGTCGTAGTAGTACTAGACGAAACATCCTCTTCTCTGGAATCGGCTGACGAAGGAGATGCGGCTGGAACTGAAGCGGCCGAAAGAGGTGTCGATGGCTGCTGCTGCTGTTGTTGTTGATGCTTGGCAGGTGTCTTCTTTCCACCAGCCACCAATGGTTGGCCACCTATACTAACATTGCTGGTGGTAACCACAGGAGCCGCACTCTTCGTGGGTGAATTCAATTTGGTAGGCGTAGTCGCCGGGATTGCCTGGGCTCCGGTTGAAAAGATTATCTGCTGCTGGTGTTGCACTGGCTGAGGTTTTTGCTGACGTAGGGGCGACTGCGGGACGTTCAGGTGCTGAGATTGTTGTTGTAGCTGCTGTGGTGATTGTTGTTGTACCCCTTGTTGCTGCTGCGGTTGTGGTTGCGTTTGTTGCTGCACTGTTGCCACTTTGATTGGCGTCACTATATGCGACGTGGGGGCGGCGTGCAGGGTTTGCAATGCACTCACTGCCATTCTAGCCTCATCCGCCATTTTCTGCTGCTGTTGTTGTTTCTGCTGCTGCTGCATGAAAGTTTGCTGCTGTTGAGCACCAGCCACATGTGGCTGCTGCGCCACTACGACATGCGGCTTTGGTGATTGCTGTTGCTGCGGTTGCCGGACAAAATAGGTGGCCATGGGCTGTTGTGCAGCTGCAGCAGCTGCGATAACAGCCAACGGCTCCTGACTTTGCTGTGGTTGGGGCTGCTGCAGCAAAGAAGATTGCTGCTGTATCGGCAACAGAGCATGTTGGTGTTGTGGCTGCTGTGCTGGTTTCGGCAATTGGGGGGAAAGCATCGGCGTAAGCATGGGTGTAGGCAGCGCAGCAAGGATCTGTTGCTGATGCTGTTGCGTGGGACTACGCTGCAGAAGCGACAATTGCTGCTGTGGTAACTGGTGAGAGTGCTGCTGTAAGGTCGGCGACTGCAGCTGAGTGGGTGTGGGCGATGGAATAGACACCGACGGGGAAGAGGACGACGTGCAGATGCCAGAGTCGTGCAGGACACTGGACATGGACACAGAGCACGAGTTGTTGCTGCTGCTGCTGCTTCCACCGCTGTTGTTGCAATGCACTCCGGGTACAGGTGCCGTCAGCGAAACTGCCGTCGGAGAGGGCTTAAAGCCCAGATTCAACTGTCCAAGCTGAGGACTATTTAGACCCATTTGACTGCTCTCGCCGCTGGATGATGTAGAACGATTCCTGGAGTTTGGCAAAACACCCGCTCCTGCCGCCACCGCCGCTCCTACGCCCAATCCCATTGTTAGCTGTATGGCTGCCGCACTATTGGCCGCAGCTGCCGCCGCCGCTGCTGCTGCCGCTTTGTTTCGATGACTACTTCTTGGCTGGGTCGGCGGAGCCTGGAGCTGTTGCTGTACGGCCAGCGGTAGGGCAAAGAGACAATCACTGCCCAAGTCGCAAGCGCAGCGGGTACTCGTCGGCTGGATAACGGCAGCGTGCGACTTCTTCTGCTCCACCGCGGCCAGATCGTGCGGCTCATGGCGAACCGTGATCTCTGTCTGGGCACGTATGTGCGTCAGTGCCACTATGTACAGGTGCAGCGTTCCCTTCTCAAAGTAGTGCTGCAGCTCGGCATTCGGCCGGCAAGAGCGGCGCACGAATCGTGCATCATTGCCATATGTCCTCGTATCCACGCACACCTCCGGTCCCTTGAGATACGAGGGCGGTTGCTGCGCCACTTGTGGCACACTTCCGTCTGGCCGCAGGGTCTGCATGGGCGCCTCTACTCCGGGCAGCTGGTAAAAGAACACAAACTGACCCGGCGTCTTGTGCGCCTTGAAGCTGTTCAGGTAATTACTGGGCGGGGGCGTGTTCATGTTGACGGTGGGGTTCTGGGTGCGGAACTGGGTGGTGAGCATATACTTGCCTCGTAGCTCATGGATGGGGGCATGCGGAGCCAACTCCACACTGCTGATCAGCACTTTGGCACCCGCATACGGGATGAGCTGTGCCCGTTGCTCAAGCTCACTGCTGCCGGCAGTCGACAGTTGTTGCTGAATCTGCCTCAAAGCCTTGTTCTCAGTGTTTTGTATGCTCTGCAACAGACTGGGCTGCTTCTGGATTGCGTGTAGGCGGGCGCGAAGTTCTGGCGAATAGTGATTGGTCACCGCATACTCGTAATTCTCGATCCACTGACGAAGATTGGCGGCATGCTTTTCGGCGGCCGTCAATGCTGGACTGCTGCCACCGCCACAAGATCCATCTCCACTAGACTTGCTCTTGCGTTTGCTGCTCTTCTTGCTGGATTTGCCGCCGCTGCTAGAGGGAGTACCGCTTCCGCTGCCGCTCTTCTCGCCACCCATGCCAACACCGCTCTTCTTTGTTTTCTTTAAGGCGGGGGTACTGCCCGCATTCTCTTTGGTTTTCTTTGACTTCTTGGACATGCCGGTGCCCGTGGCAAATCCGCCATTCAGACCAGAAGCCAGCCGGTGCTGCAACTCCTCGGACATCGGCAATCCACCACCGAGTCCACCGCTGATCGTCGTTCCAGCCGCCACAGCCGCAGCACCATTTGCCGCTTGCGTAGCCACCAGCAGCATGTGCTCCTTGCGCTTTTGACGCTGCAGGGCTCGAGCTCTCGCCTTGTCCACCGCACGCGGTTGGCAGAGTTCGCACATGTACTCCTCCGGGATGTTCTGGCGGTCAATGCCCATGCAGTCAACATGTTGCCAGGCCCTGTTGGAAAGTTATATATTTGATTAGTGTTGATAAATCTTGGGACATTTTTTAGAAGTTTGGCAGTTTGCCATATGAGAATCTTTCGCGTAAAGGTATGTAGATAACTACAGGATACTTACGAACACTTGTCACAGCAAATCATATACCCATCGTCATGGGTTAGTTCGCAGATGCAGCGCGTCACCGAGTCGTCCTCGGCCTCAGCTTCGGGTGCCGTTTCCGTCTCCTCGCCGGGATCAATGTCTGCGCTAGTCAGTCCCAAACGGGAGCTGCTGCTAATGGCAGAGTGAGCATCATCGTCGGCTTGATGGCGAGCAACTGAGTAAACAAGAGTGAAATAAAGAAATATTAGTGATTAAATTAAACAACTTTTCTTAGAAGACTTTAAATTATAAAAGGTTTATACTCTAAATTTTCCCCATTTACTTACTTTGCTGTCCAAAGTAGTTGCAATATCCGCCTACCGCCGTCGGTGTTGGTTGACCACCAGCCACCGTGACACCGATTCCGCCCAGTGACCACTGCTGCGGCTGCTGGACCTGCTGTGCTGTTCCAGAAATCGTGGCATCCCCTGCAGGAGCCTGCGCCGGTTGCTGTTGTTGCTGGGAGGCATACGTGTGATCCTGCATTATAGCGTGCAATTGTTGCAGTCGTAGATCCTGCGTCAGCACTGGAACCGGACGCACCTCCTCGATGTACAGCTCCTCATCGTTGGCACTCAGCTGGTTGTGTCCCAAAAGATGCGGCGGCTGTTGTGGTGGTTGCGCCGGCGCCTGAGACGTACCCTTGACCAGAGCTGGCGAGGACTGTGGTGCTGAAGCTTCCACGTGGACTGGCACGTTCAGGGGCGTTAGGTGAAGAGGTGCAGCTGGCGTTGGAGTGGTGGTCGTGGCGAATCCGCTTGCACTGCTACTCCGCAGGGCTCCGAGATTACTCATGCTGGCGCTTTGGGTCAGGCTATTGCTGCTGCCAATTATGCTGTTCACGCTGGAATCAAGGAATTGTCTTGAATAGCTGTCTTGAAAATATCACAACACAATTTATGCTTCGCCATTGACGAGGCTTATTCTCCTACTGCAGTAGAACTGACTAGCTGGCCGATAGTTGTAAATACAAATTTTTTGACAGTAGTAAGAGCAAACTATCGATGCTTTGTAGAAAATTGACAATCGATCATCCCAGACACTCGAGACATTAGACTAACAAATCGATTATGAACGGTCACAATTAAAAGCTGGCAAATCGGTCCAAATATTTTACCTCTAATGTCACTTATGTCAGTTAAATAGTAAAGGTTTCAAAGTAATTATTATTTGAATCAAAATAATACTTTTGGTAAAGAGTCAGAAATGTAGCTTTTGAATTCTAGAAAGAATCTTTTGACGTTTCACAACGTTATTAAGTTTGTTATAATATATTTAGAATAAATGAAGAAGAACCCAAACCAGTAAAGATAAAAATTCCAAGATTTTTCTAGGTAATCTTGCTATAGTGTTGGTTTTTGCTATTTTCTGTCGTTTTTTATATCATATATCATTTTTTTTATTCCCAACTTGTTGCACTTTGCAAGACCAATAATTGTACTGCCATGTTAAAACTTACCCGTGCTTGTTGTAATACTCGATGACCGTTGGAGCCTTGCGACCGCCACCAATCACCTCGTGCTGCAGTTGCTGGTGTTGTTGGTGCTGCTTCCGTTCCAAGGACACTGACCTGCTGCTGGGCGCACTCACAGATTGACGTCGCGCCGCCGTCGCAGAGGACATGTAGGAGGAAATGGCCGCACTACCACTGGCAAAGCCATGTGACGAGATGCTCACCGAGGGCGTGGATGCAACCGTAACCGGCGGCGTTCCCGTGACCGTGAGGAAAGAAGCTGAGGATACCGGCTTTGGGCCGGCTGCCTGATAGTGGGCAAGCAGCAGGTTTCCCGGTTGATTTCCACCCGGACTACTGGCGACTGTCCCATTGCTACTGCTGCTGCTGTTGCTGTAAATAATCTGGGTGGGAGGCGGCATGTTGCTACTGCCCGAAGCGGGAACATGCTGGAATCGCTGCTGCTGCTGGCTAAACGACTTCTGAGCCATGCTCTGCAGGATCCGGGCGGACAGTTCGTCGGTCATCTGAGTGCCGTTGACAATCATCACATCATCGGTGATCAGTGAAGAGTTGGCCACCCCATGCTGTTCATTGTCGCTGCTTCCGCTACTATTGTAATGGGTGCGTTTCGTTGCCTGCTGATGCTGTTGGGGATGCTGCTGGATGACGGTGCCATGGGAGTTGACAAACTTGATAGTTCCTCCGCCCGTGGCCTGACTTTGCTGCAGCAGATATCCTCCTCCTGCTACATTCGGCGACGTTTTTTGCTGCAATTGCGTGCCCTGCGGCAGGCTGATCTGCTGCTGCACATACTTGCTGTTCAGTTTGGTGACCTTCGCGGATGTGGGAGTGGTGACCATTGGCTGTTTCGCGTAGGTAGCCGCTTGTTGTTGCTGCTGCTGTTGGGGCAAAGCGGCAATGGACAAGGCGGTCGATTGTTTCACAAACTTTGCCTTGGCTCCCGCCTTGTAGGTTTGCTGCTGCTGCTGCTGCGTGATGAAGGTTTTCAGCTGCTGGGCTTGTAACTGCTGCTGCTGTTGTTGTTGCTGCTGCTGTTGCTGTTGCGACATATTGCTCACGCTCTTGACCGTGATCTTTTGATTGGCCTTCTTCAGAAGAGCAGCATTTCCACCTAACGCTGTTGCCGTGGCATTTACATACTTTGGCTGCGCCGGTTGCACCATAATCTGCGAAGGACTTGCCGGCACATAGGACTGCAGGCGGGTAGCGACTCGGGAGCCCAAAGTCACTTTCTGCAGGGTGGCATGCGGATGGTGTTGCTGCTGCTGTTGCGCCTTAAATGCGCTTATGCTGCCGAACTTTTGAGGCTGCTGCTGGCCCTTGGCCGGCGATGCCGTCACATACGGCAGACTCTTGGCTCCCAGGTAGTTAAGCTGCTGTTGTTGCTGCTGCTGCGTGCCTCCTCCTTGGACTGGTGCCTGCTTCGAGAGCACCGTGAGATTGCTAAGCAACAGTTTAGAGTTGTGCGGAGGTGCAGCAGCCGATGCGTCGATGATGACATTGCTGGTGCTACCGTCAGTGGTCACAATTTTGTAGATCTGGGGATTGATCAGCTCTTGGCCGGAGCTGCCCGACGAAGCTGACGTCGCGCCTAATGCTCCGGTTCCGGCTGCTGTACGCACCGCGTACTTTTGCGTCGTGTTCATCGACTGGGACTGGCTGGCGCTGAGGATTTGGCGCGTACTGATGGACATGCGACGCTGCATGATGCGTTGCAGCTGGGCCTGCGTGGACAGGCTGCTGCCATCGATGACGATGTGCGGGGGCGGCGGCTGGGGGCCACCGGCTATTCCCACGCGATTGATGCTGCTGGTGCTGCCGCCGCCACTGCTGCTCACGGCGGGCTCCACGAAGACCGTGTCGTGGCTGGACATGGGCATGGTGATGGTGCTGCTGCGGCAGTTCGGACTGCGAACTAAAATTAGACGTGTATTTAGAGGGGGGAGCCTTGATTCGGCTTGAGAGTTCACTCGCTTGGTAGAGTTCGGTTTCGGTCTCGGTTTTAGTTTCTATTTCACAACACTACTTCACAGGCAAAGCCGTCATGTTGCTGCCGGTTCTGCTGATGCAGTTTCTGCTCCTGCTGACGCTGGGCCTTCGTTGACGTGCCCCCAAAACATTGGGGGCTCAATGCATAACCTCTGGCTCTGGCACGGAGGACGGAGGCTGAGACTCCCAGTGGTAAAAATTGTAGGCGTAGGCGATGGTGCGCGCTTGATTTGCTTAGACGGTGTCCAACTCTGTGCCACATCACATTGTCAGCCATCACAATCATAACGCTGCGAAAGATTCGACGACTTCCTCCGCGTGCTTCCTGGCTCCTTCGCTCCTGATTCCTCTGATTGGCACCCTGTTTATGGATCCTTATCCTGAAACTGATTGTATCTTGTGAAGATGATAATCCCGCCCTGTAGATTTTGCGTTGTTGTCCGTCGTTGTATGTTGAAACTTGTATTTTGTGGATACGGTCTTCACATAAACGATCTTTCGTTGTTTCTGCAATGAGTCAAAAAAGAAAAAACCAATTAAATATATAAAAAAGAATTAGAGTTTTATTATAAACATATATTTGCAGTTCAGATTTACTGGTTTTCTTCAAAATGAATTAAATTTCCAGATTCCTACTATGAACTTTAAAAATGTTTATTACTTTTCTAGTATCAAGCAAGCAAAAGATACAAAAACATTTAATTATTGAAAATTGAAGGATTCAATTTCAAACCTTATAGAAGAGAAAATTTGAAATTTTATCCTAAACTCCTACTGGTATTATCGATAAAATCAAGGGAGGCGCTCATCTCTAACATCCAGGAGTGGCATTGCCAACTGCAATTTGGATTTGTGTTATGTAATAAAATAAAAAGCACAGCGCTGCCAACGGGCGCCAAAAATACGCATGCGCACTTCAAACGTCAATATCCGCGTTTATTCTGCGTATGTACTTTCGTCTATGCTTTCGGAATGTGCTTCGTGGTGGCTGCTGCACTTGCTGTAAACTTGAACGCAGCATCAGGGAGCGGAAAAGCATTTCTGCGAAACGGCAAAGCGAAAACAGTGCGAAAGGTGCGCCAAAGCAAAGCAAGGGATTGTGCATTGTTTACACTTGTGTGAGTGTGTCTGCTTTTGCATGTGTAGTGTGACCCCCCTGGCCAATAAAAACACCAACAACGTTTGGCACTTGTGCATTTGGCTTTTATGGAAACCAGTTTTTCTCTATTTTGCTTTGTTTATGCGCATCGCTAAATTGCCAATGCAATTGCCCACTGTCAAAAGCGTCCCAAATTAATTGACAAAGAATTCCATCTTTGAATTTCTTTTGGTATATGACGATATTTCTAACTTAGATTTTGATTTTCAAAGTTTAGGCTATTTTATTTACGAGACATTTTATAGAATTCGTTTGGTTTTTAGAGTCAAATCCGTGTGACTAGGGCTTATACACAAAATTTTTAACTATCTAATAAATATTCAATTAAATATAAGTTTGTTTTGACTAAGCATAAAGGTATTACCTCCCTAATACCAATAACAACTTATTGCTACTAACCACTGACCTCCTGCAAGTAGTCAATATTTTGCCATGTTTTGCTAACAATTTCTCTAATTCTCTAATTTATTGCACATTCCGCGCATTTGCCCCGTCTTTCGCATTGCAAAGCAGAGAGCCAAAGCAAAAAGGCAAAGCGGAGCGAAAAGTGAATGCACTAATTTCGCCTTGGCATCCGGCGCGGCATTCATCGCTAGTTGTAGTTGTTGTGGTGGGGTTTTTTGTCGTTGCTTTTGTCGCTGGCTTTTCAGTTTCTTGTATCTATTACACATTGCACTGGCAACTTGCACTTGGATATCCCACCTGCGTGCCTGTGTGTGCGAGTGCGAGAGCGATTGTGCTGGTTGCCAATTTGCGCCTATTGTAGATACAATTTCTAATTGAAACAGAGAACAGGGAGCAGCGCAATTGATTCCCCAATTGAATAGTGAATCTGGGAAAGCACAGCCAAAGCTTATGTAACCTTTTGCCTATTTCCTGTAGATACAATGTGCAATTATGTAAAGGCCGCCGACAGGTTAATCGATAAACGGATTTACAGCTTCAAGCTGGATTGTATGTGTATGACCCAGGAAGTGGGGCTCAGAACTTTATCGATAACGATGGTGGGCATTTCTCATTTCCGTTTTGCTTTAGATTTCAAAATTGAAACAAAGAGAGGCCACAAGATAACGGCACAAATGGGGGCCTGCAGTAAATTTTGATTTGGGTTACACACACACTCACTAGCATCGGGCGCTATATCTGAACTTTTACAGCAAATCTTACAACGCTGCTAGTTAAAAATACCCAGGCGAGAGAGAGGGACGGAGGAGAATTTGAATTTGATTCTCTCATCCTCGCAAAGGTGAAATATGTACACGCACACACACGTGTGCGAGAGCCAACCCTACCCCAACCCCAACAACAACATCATCATCGGCGAGTAAAATGCGCGCCATAAACAAATTACACACAAGCTCACAAAATAAGCCCCATTCGAGCCCATTATCGGGTCGTGGGTGTGAGCAAGACAGCAGCAGATCGCCGTAAATCGTGGCTGCAAATGCACGTTGGAAACTTATCGCACACACACATGTAAGAAGAGGCCGCGGTTTTTTGAGCAGGGGCGGATCCAGGGGGATAATTGGGGATTGTTTACCCCCAAAAAATAATGTTGTAATATCAACAACAAAAATCATAAAAATAATATACATTTTCAAACAGTTTCCTCTTGATTTAAAAAGCTCCCCCTGCAATTCAGCCCCTGCTTTTTAGTGTCATTGTTGTTGGGTTTTATTGTTGCATCGCTAGATGAAGTAGAACAAATACAAAGCTTATCGACACACACACCTACAGTGTGTCGAAAAGAGAAAGACTCCCATTGTGATCTACTGAATAAAAATGAACCTGCAATTAAAAATAGTAATGTTGCTCATATTAGTTTGTTGACCAATGGACTACGTGACTGCACAATAATATTGGCTGTACGTACTTTCATTGACACAAACGTCGACCGTATAATGGGCATTAGCTTTTGCATACGGGCTATTCGCTAGTTTGTAGTGTCAACTAATTGCGTCTTATTTTAGTTTATTTTTTCTCTATTTCTGCATGGCTAAAGTGTGTGCATAATACGATATATTCTCCTACAATGGTTGAGATTTGATTTCAAAGATTTATGAGTACCATTGAAATACACCTTTTTCAAAATTTTATGGAGGGTTGGGGGAGGTGTTTTTAGGGTTGCGCAGGGGGTCGTGATTTTGGAGCAGCGACAACCCTTGGAATTATCGAGTATGAGTAGCTTGCTTTCGCGAATTTACATTTATCCGATGGTCTGGTCTGCGCTGCGCAGAAAATAACGCAAAACGGGCGCAGTGCAAAAAGTTGTCTATCAACTTTTGCTTTCATTTTGTGGCGAAAATTCGCGCGTACAGAGCGCAAGGCATAAATAACAATTGCAAAAATCACGTATGCGCGAGGAGCAGAACAGGAGCATTCGAGCAATGCCTGTGGGCGAGAGCGGGACAAACAGACATGGCGCTCACACACACACACTAGCTCACTGTTAACTGCGGCCAACTTCGCGGCGTACAAACGTGTAAACGAAGAAACACGCAATAAAATGTTTGACGAAAACAAGAGGAAAGAAAAGCGAATAAAATCTATATTTGTGCTAACATTCTGGATATGAAACCAATATGGCGACGTCAGCATTGTTAAGCGTATTTGAAATTATCAAAATGCACCTTTCGCTGCACTTTGTTGATAATTTTTTCCCGAATGTCTTATGCGCATGTCAAAACATTGGAGGAGACAACAAAAACACTCCTCGGCATACACATTGTAATGAAAATGCGGCAAGGGTGTGCCTCTTTGAATTGAGATTCAAATACTTCATTACTTTGGACACTTGAGCAAAACAAACTGCAAATAATTAACATTTAACAAAACATTTCCGTCGGGCTGGCAACTCTGTGCTTGGGGTATATTACGCACATCTAACTTCACGTTGCACAAAACGGAATCGAAAGCAAAACAAATGAACCCGCGAACGTGTGCGAGCGAGCACGCTATACTGACGGCCAGTGGGGAGAAGAATATGCAATCAAATATGGCGACACACAGTACACAGTATGCAAAAAAAAAAAAGAAAGCAAGAAAATCAAGGCATCAACAAATGGAATATTTAACTTGCTCGAATCAACATTGAATCGGAATTACATTAGTTGGGAACCGATTTATTTGCATGACTTATTCGGGGATCTTTTTATCGATTCCAAGTTACTTTTCGATTTGGGCGCGCACTCACACACACACAAGCACATTGGTTTTACTCACCGTTTACTTTGTTAATATTTAAGTTTTCACTTCATTTTGCACAATTTATGTAGTTTAATTTGACGGCAAGCTACGTGGTTTATTGCTTCTCAGAGCTATTTATTTCAATTTTTTGAAAACACTTTGTATTGAATTGTACACTTGTTTTTTTGTTCTGTTGCACATTGTTGATTCGCAGCATTCAAACGATGGCGCGACGCTGTTTCGAACGTTTACTACCTGCACAAATCAAAATGTTTCTACTTTGATTAATCAATTTTATTATTATTAATACCGTATGGCACGAGAAACAGAAGACAAAACGCGCAAAGAAAACACATACACGGATGGGGCAAAAGACGTGTGTAGGAGCGAGACGACTGGTCTGTTCGGCCAGGCGCACAGCTAGTGTGACCGTTCTGACTTGTGGCCGAGCCTATTATCGGCTATTTTATTTTGTTCGCCTGCCCTGCTTCTTCCTCTTCTTGGTTTTTGTGTTGCTCTGTATCCCCGCTTTAGCCTATTACCACTGCGCCTGGCCATTCCGAAATGCTGTACGTACATATTTCGATTTCGCCTTTCCGCCTATTCGTTGATACCCACACAAACGTATATCTGTGCATGCCTTTCTACGTAGGTATGTGTAAAATCTATACACACGGATGTTGGCGCACATATACACAAAAAGCAAAATAGTTAAATGTTATTAACTATTCGGCAACGAGCCAGCTACTCACATTCCTAACAGCAATCAAACTGTGCAGACTACCGAAAAAATGTTACCAAAAAAAGAGATACACAAAAAATAGAGAAGAAAATAGACAGGGAAAATGACAATAAGTCGAATTCAACTTATTGGCCACCTTTCGGCCAAAGACTATGAAATTAATTCAGAAATTGAGCGCACAGTCAAGTAAACTATACTTTTTGTACAATTCTTTATACCTTTCCTACACTCACACAAATACTATATATATGTATATATAGACCGCGGCTAGTACACGTTTAGCGTCATCTCGCTCCCACCTACGCTCTGCTCGTATTTTGCCTCTCACATTGTGTGTGTTTTCCTCTTTTCCAACACGCTAATAAGAAATCGTCAAATTAAAAGTGATTTTGCAGCCAAACTAACACGTTTCACGGGGGAATTTCATAGTTCTGCGATTGCCGCGCTCGCATACTACGCTCCCAGCTATTTTCACAAATTTATTGTTGACGTTTTGAGCACAATTTTCACACGTTTTGCTCACAACTTTCCGCTTCTTAGAAATTAGCGACTGACCAACCGAAGACGGTCACACTACAGCGGGCGATGAATCGTTATCGCGCGACCAGGGCTGCGGAACGATATCGATTGATTTCATAAACTAGTTCTATGAACCAGATCGATTACTCAGCTGGCGGTAAGACCGTGCTTTGTTTTTTTCTTTAATTTTAATACTGGCTTGTTTTTCATATTAAAAAAATGTTTTATAACTAAATTAAAAAGTGAATATTAATTTTTATTAAAGTATCTAAATATTTTTTTTATCGATGTATTTTAAGCGAAATAATAGACAGCCACACTGCTGCAATGCAGAAATAAAATAAAAAATTATGTTATTTTATATTTATTAACTTTGCAAGACATTTTTTATGAACTCAACTTGAGGTACACTTAGAAAAGATGAAAACCTGTCCAAGGTGTGGCTGGGAGATAAAATGGTTCCGAAATCTGGATCTCGAGGACTGACCCTGACACCAGCTGATTATGAAAATATTCTTACATATTTTTGTTGTTACTTAAAGATAGAAGAGAGGTCATCTCCAACTTGCCGCCATGGACACTAATGTCAACCCCCTGGCTGTAATCCTCGTTTACTTCGATAGCAAGGGAGACCGGCTGTTGTATAGATATCCCTACCAAACACTTGGCCAAACGGAGGAGGCCAGCGATGAGCAGAGGAAGTCCAGGTGAAGTTACTATTTCAAACCTTTTTCACTTCGATTTCAACTTGTTGATATTGATCACACAGGAAGCGCAATCCCTATGCCGTGGCCCATGTGGACGACCTCCTGCAGACGCCCACCCACTTGGGAGCTTCCCAGGGCCAAGGACAGCTGCAGGGATTCGCCGATGAGGTGCTGTCGGCTCTATTTGCTGTGAAGCCACAGCTGTGCAATCAGAAATTTGAGCTTAAACTGAACGACGTGCGTTTTGTGAGCCACCCCACGCTGATTCCCCAACGGAGTGGAGCCATGGCCAAGCAGCAGATGCTCATCAACATCGTGTTTGCGCTCCACGCCCAGGCCAGCTACTCGATTGTGAAGTGCTACCATGAGCTGAGCAAGCGCCTGGGGCTGGCTCTAAAGTTCGAGGAGCAGCGCAGTGGCTATGTCACCGAGCAGACGGCCCACATGGCACGCACCCACGACGAGCAGCAGCAACAGCCGCTGGAACGGACTCTGGAGCTGATTGCAGAACGTTGTAGTTTGGCGCAGGCCCTTCGCTCCATCTTCCACGATCTGTGCACCACCGGACTACTGAGTACCTCGCTGAATCACAATCTAACGCTGTGTTTCTGTCTGCCGGCCAAGGCACACCAGCTACACAAGAAGGGAAGCATGGTGGATCCGGAGACAATTGATCGTTGTCTTCGTGCCCTGAAACCCTATCACGGCATGCTGTTGCTGGTCGACTTTGCAGAGCTGCTGGACTGCGTTCCACCGACGGGGGCACGGATGCTGTGGCAACTTGTGGACGCCTACAACCCACTGATCAGCCTCCAAAGCATGGCCTCCAAGGCGGACTTGAGCATCGAGCATGTCTACAAGCTGGTCTCGCATTTAGTCTACTGGGCCAAGGCTACTATCATATATCCTCTGTGCGAGACGAACGTTTATGTGATCGCACCAGATGCCCCATTGCATACAAAATCTCATCTGGTGGAGAAGTTCTCCGCTCGTTTCGCTGGAATGTCACTGTTCGAGGTGATCTCGGATTTCTCGCTGCCCACGTCGATTGGACATTTGACAACGCCCCTGCAGCAGCCGGCGCGACAGGGTATTCTCGCACAGATGGTCATTTGGATGCTGCAGCACCATTTGCTCATGCAGCTGCACACGTACGTTCAGTTTATGCCCAGCGAGGATGAGTTCGGAGACTCGGCCTCCTGCAGCAATCATCTGAGGGATGCCGTTAGCGATGAGGAGGGAGAGCAGGAGCAGGATGTGGATGAGTTGCACGAGGGCTCCATGTTGAGCATGTCCAGTCAGCCGCTTCCAGTGCCAGCGGTCTCAATCGGTGGCCATCGACGTGACGCCTCCGAGGACCACTCTTCCCTGGCCTCCGACAACATCGCCGTGCAACCTTCGTCCAGCCATAAGTCCAACTTCAGCATCACCGCCTCGATGAGCACGGATAACTGTGACAGCCTGGACTCCATGGAGGACGAGCAGAAGCTGAAGGAGCTGCTACAGGTCTTCAGCGATGCGGATCGAGCCGCAATCCGGCGCATTCCCGCTTCCGCCAACGTCGACGATCTCTCGCTGCTGGTAAAGCTCTACCAGATGGGCTACTTTAAAAGCGAGCACCACCTGGAGGAGATCATGTACTTCGAGAACCTGCGCCGTTCGCAGCTGCTGCAATTGCTGGACAAGTTCAGGGATGTGCTCATCATCTACGAGACCGAAGATCCCGCCATCGCATCCATGTATAACAATACCAAGTAGATTTGGTCGAATTTTGCATTCCTAGAAGTTAAAGTTGAATGTTTGTGTTAGTTAATTAAGATATGTAATCTATTAAATAGAAATGCATACAGTTTGTAAAGTCTTCAAAAGAAAACCAAATTAATTTTCGGTTGCACTAGCAAAAATAAATAATTATTTACTATTCTAAGCGGCTAGGCTCATTTAAAAAAGGAATTTATTTTTTTTTACATGTTTTATATGTCGAAAATATTTTGAATAAAAATAAACAATACAAAATTTTTTTTTTATTTGATTCAAAGAAATGAAAAATTTCAGCATCTTGTTAGTTAAAGAACTACTCGGATCGAAATTTTCATGAAACTAAAAATAAAAAGTAAATTTAATCAAAAACAAAGAAAAAAACATTAAGCAAATAAAAAAAAAAACAATGCACTTTTGGTATTTTCGGTATATTTTGATGAATAGTATTTTTTCGCAGCTGGCTTTGGATAGTGCTTATCTTCCAACCTTCCTGGAATTTTTAGAATCAACTCGAATTTCAGCAAGATGGACCTTTCGCAAATGTGCCGCGTTTGCCGGGACGAATCCGACTGTCTGGTAGACTTGTTCGCGGAGTCGTGCGCCCTCCGAAGGGATCAGGGGCAGGAGCCGCTATTGGCCACCATGTTAAAGGAGTGCACCGGATGTAACGTGGAGAGGGCGGATGGAAAGCCGCAATTCATCTGCGTAGAGTGCGCGGAGGCCACAAGGAACGCATTCCGGCTGAGACGGCAATGCCGGAAGAGCAATCAGTACTTTGACCAGATGCTAGAGATGATCAAGGAGCTGGAGAGCATCGAAGATCGCCTGAAAATGGAGTCTGGAGGCAATGATTCGCAGAAACCCGAGTCCGGCGTCCAGGATGGAGAACCTGCAGAACCTCAAGGCTTGGAACATCTCTTAGTAGAACTCGTGGAGATGAAGTACAAGTCGCTAGACACGCAGGAGCAAACCAATGGGAGGAGGTCGGGAGAGCAAGAGCCAGACGGGAAACGCACTGCCATGAAGAGGGCCAGGTCCTACTCGGAAAGTGAGTCCTGGAGTCCGGAAAGTGACTGCGCCAAAGACGACGATGATGAAAACTGGCCGGCTTCAAAGAAGAGCAAGGTCAAGAAGGGACGCGATTTCTTTGTTTGTCTCGATTGTAACCAGTCCTTCGTGCATAAGGTACACTTGCAGACCCATATGCGCGTTCATACGGGCGAGCGTCCGTACAAGTGCCCCCACTGTCCGCGATCCTTCGCCCAGAAGGGCAATCTTCACACCCATATACGACTCCACACGGGTGAGCGTCCTTACCAGTGTCCGCATTGCCCCAACCGCTTCCGGCAAATCGGGCAACTCCGTGTCCACATCCGGGTTCACACTGGCGAACGGCCGTACAAGTGTCATGATTGCGGGCTTAGGTTCTCACAAAAGAACAGCCTGCAGAAACATATGTTCGTTCATACAGGAGTGAAGTTCCAGCCGCAGCAACGAAGGAAAACGAATAAAGTTTAAGATGCATAGATGTTAAGACGTTCATTATTATGTTTCCGTTGTCTTTCACTACACTACTTGTTTATCAACATAGAATAAGTGGCATGCCCATTGGCATATTATTATTTTATTCGTTAATATACTTACTATTTCTTATAGTACGTACTATATATATATAAAGAATGTTGCTCGAATGATTTTTTTTCGAATAATACACAATGTGTAAACGATTTAACAAGATCTTTGTATGAATCTATATTTAAGGATAGTGTTAGACCGTCAATACAATTCTCATTTATGTGCGGAAAGCCATTTAAAACAAAGTTTAAATATTGTACGACATCTTCGAAATTCTCATAGCTTTACAGCCAAAAAACTTGCAGCTAGTGCAAAACTCATCATTAACTAGCTTTAAGTGACTTCCATTCTGTACAACAATAAATCAATATCTTTTGTTTTCAAACTGCTTTGAAACCCTTGCAGAGTTTTTTCCTCTGGTAGTACCGCTTACCTAAAACATTAAAGAATAAACCAAAGTATTTCGTTACAGATTAAGCATTTTTAATCCACTCGTATCAATGTACATAGTTGGTCATTTTAATATTAGTTCTTATGAAAGCCGATCATAACATGTATTTATTTTAGCATGTCTTAATGAAATTCTCTTTAACAAGGCTAAGAGTTAGTTTCGTGGAAGTTTGTGTATGTCATAATGTGGTTAACGAGATGATTCTCTTATATATCTAGACGTCGAATGCAGTTGAACATGTAGCAACATGATAATGTTATAAACATGCATTGAACATTTGGCTTGCCAAGCGCCTAACCTAAAGATTCGCGGTCCGGAGAGGGTACTACTTAATAGATCGACGTTTTGGCTTTCCTTTGGAGTGGGTGCGGCTGTGCATGGTCAGCTGAGCCTTGCCGGTGAAGCTCTTCGGGCAGTCGGGACACTTGAAGGGACGTGGCTTCTCCTCCTGTTGCTTGGCCTTCTTCGCAGCCGGCTGCAGGTCGTTCTCGTCCCCTTCTTCGTCTTCGTCCTTGATGCGATCCACCAGACTCCAGTCCTCGGCCTCCAGCAGATCGCATGTCTCCTGGTCCTTCTTCTCCGACTTCACGCGTCCCAAGCACTCAACATTCCTGGCGTAGCGCTTTTTGAACAGTAGAGCGTCGCGCAGTTTCTTCAGGCACGGCTCGCAAATCTTCAGGGGGAAGCAGTCGCCGGAAGAGACCGGAACCGAGCTGCAGCTCTGCATCAGGTCGGCCGGCGTGGGTTCCGGCTCCTTGGTCTTCTTCAGCTCGGCGGTCAGCCCGTCTCCGAAGCTCTTGTTGTCGTAGATGTCCAGTAGTTCCTCCGACTCCCCCATGCAAACGCGGCACATTTTCACAAGATCCTCCATGATTCGCTTTCTAAATTCGCGTCGAGTTAATTATTTCTTTTTTTTTTTTTTTTTGACTTTTGGCAATGTAGGCCGGAATCAAATTTTTTGAAAGAAAGAACTGCAGTGGAAGACCGTATTGCGACCGTATAAAAATACCGATTGGCGCCATTTCAGGGCTGCAAAATATTTAATCGATAAAGGTTAGGCATAGGGGCGAAAAATTTAAAAATTTGAGTTAAGGTAAATTATATATGATATTTGAAATATAATTTATATAAATTAAGTAATTCTGGGTAAGTTTTATATATTTAAAAAAAAAAAGTCAATAACTTGTGATCAGGATGCGTTAATAATCAAACATATTTATATTGATATTATACGTCCCAAGGAATAAATTAAAATACAACTTTTGGCAGTTAGTACCTTTGTTCAAAACCAAGTAAGCTGCATTGAATTTCTGAACACTTGATTTACAGAAGCAATGGCAAGGGCCCCATACAACTTTTGCAACATGCACAAAGATCAAAAGAGCACTGGTCATTGCCTTCTAAGTTTATCGCACCCAACTAATAGTAAATACTTAAGCAACATCTTGGAACCACAAGACTTTAGTACAAATCTATACTTAGCTGCATCTCTGACCAACCGCAATAGCGATAAGACTCAAAAGACATGGATTACAAAAGAGTTCATGAAGTTTATTGCATATTTAGCGCCCTCGGGGCGTGATAATAGAAAAAATTACATAAGATAAGAAATAAGAAAGTGCGGGTTCATTTACATCTCCACGTAAGTGGGCATGGTCATGACACCGCAGTTGTTCTTCTTTGCCGACATCAGGATGTATCCATCGTTGCCCCAGTAGGTGGACCACGAGTTCTTCGCCAGCCAGTAGTCCTCTCCATTAATGCTTCCATATCCAACTGCCAGTACGGCGTGATCCAGACCATCCACATCATTCTTGCACGTGGGCTCATAGTAAACTCCGTGCGAGTAGAAGCTAAATGTCTTAGGAGACGCGTCGATGGCCACCGAAAGAGGTCCGTGCTTGAGCAGGGCCAGCTTGAAGGCATTGGGATCGTTGGAGGTTACGTTCACGAATCCCTTGATGGGAGCCACCAGGGTCACATTGTTGGCGTGACAGTAGCCATCCTGTCCCAGATATGGGCCGTACTCCTCCTCCGTGGGCACTCCACCGGACTGCAGCATCCACTGGTACACGCGGAAGTCCTCGCCACCATCACAGCCATTGTTGCCGAAGGCCCAGGAGCAGTCAATCAGAGCCTGCTGGGAAAGCCGGACGAGATTGCCGCCGTTCTTCAGGAAGAACGCGCCCTCCAAGTGGCCAATGGTGCCGAACGACCAGCAGGATCCGCACACCGATTGATCTGAAAGGAGTAAAAAGTTTAAAAGTATAATTGAATTGGTGTAAGATAAATTATATCAATATTGAACTATAATATATGTACGGTTCCTTAGTAAATAATTAAAATTGGAACTTGCACCCACCTTTCACCGGAGTGACAGCGCCGTATAGTCGCCAATCGTACTGGTCGGGGATGTCATCCTGGTATTTGGGCACATCGTAGGGGAACGGCTTGCCGGTGTTGTAAACGCCAGAGGATTTGTAACCACGACGCGCCTTCAGCTCCTCCTCGGTCTTATCGGCCAGGTGATTCACGGCCAGCGTGTAGGTGAGCTTGGCTCGGTTCTTGGAGTGGATGTAGCGCAGGTTCTGGCGGAAGATGTTCTTGCGGTGCTCGTGCTCCTTGTCGCTGGGATAGGCGACTCCATGCTTGCGCTTGAAGTGGTGGAAGGCGTTGTCTACATGCTCATCGGTTCCGGTTATGAACTCCTGCATGGGATTGAAGGTGGCATAGTGACCGGTGCCGGGTCCGGGGAAACCAACGCACTGCAGACTGTCATCGATCTCGAACACCTCGTTGGGGATATCATCATGCTCGTAGCTGTCGTAGTCCAGGTAGTAATGATCGTAGTGGGATCCCAGCAGGGTGTTATAACCACGCATCTCGTAGCGCACGGGAATGGGCATGCGACTGGAGGGATAGTGCGGCGACTTCTTGTACCGCACCCACAACGTATAGACGTTCTTCTTCTGGCCAATGGTCTCCTCCAGCCGGAACTTGTCGCAGGTGTACCCCAAAAAGCTCTCCGTGCCCACCAGACTGAAGGGTTTCGCATCGGGCAGGATGCTCTGGATCTCGACGGACTGGTCGGCGGTACCATTCACCTGCAGGCAGGTCAGCTTGTTCTCCTCCGTTTTGGTGGTGATTGGAGCCAGTTTCAGCAGAGTTCCGTACTGTCCCTCGCCGGCCAGCTGGTACGTCTTCACCATTCCGCCGTAGTAGTCGATGCGGGATCGCTTAGTATTCTTGTCATACCAGGCGTAGAACGGCTCTGCGATCTCGGCGTACGGAATGTATAGGGTTCCTTTCACAATATAGTTGGGATCCCATTTCGGCGGATTCGTGGCATCAGCTATTTTTTCGGCGAAAGTAGGGAGAGATAGAGAAGGGAGAAAATAAGCGGGAGTTTTACAAAAACAAACGGTAAAGGGCGGCCATCAAGGTTTGAGCTCACGCCATTGCTTTGGTGACATACATATGTATGTATATAGGTAATCGCCAATGTACAGCTTCGTTCAAAATAATATGTGTACTTTGAATAGCACTTCATTCGAATAATTAAAATTAATGCAATTAATGTGTCTAACAAGTGGCGAATAATTATTAAAATCTAAGATCTACAAAAAAATTATTTAAAAAATTAAATTTTTCAACCTAATTATAAAATTATCTCTTAAAACAATAAATTATTCTCAAAAATAAAATGAACCCCAATCTAAAGCTTTCTTTTTTTTTAAATTCATGAATTTTAAATTTTGTAGGGTTAGTTAAAATGCTAAGAAGTTGCCCTCACTTGTTCTTATATGCATTAGTTTTATTCAACACACACACTTACAAACAATTATTCTTTGTTTTGCAAAACCTTTTTTGCAATCTAATGTTTGTACTCACCCGATAAAGCTAGGCCTGCGAGCAGGGCAAAAGCTAAAAACACTTGCATTCCGGAGAATTCCCTAGAGAGTTGTCTGGAATATTGTAAACCCAGCTCCACTTTACTTTACTTCCAATCTTTCCGAAGAATTAAACTGTTCTGCCGGCTCTAGAGTCCGACTGCCTTAACAACAACTTTCTAAGAGTGAGAAATGGGGAGATAACGTCGTGAGAAACATCGGTATTCATCGGTTAAATTGTTCTCTTATCGGGTGAAAAAGCTTCTTATAGGGTGCTTAGTGTACAGTCTACACTGCACTATGGGGAATTTGACCACTTTTTTTGGCCAAAACCCATTTTTTAAAAGTCGTTAAAAATAGGTTTTGTTTATCAGAATGCATCACGATAACATCAATATCTAATGTTACTAACAGAAAAGTTTAACAGTACGCACCACTGTTAAGTTATCAGCTGTTAAAGCCTGTTTTTATTTCAACGAGGTGGCAGCGCTGGTAAAGCGCCTATTATTCTTAATAGTTTAAATTGTCAAAAAGTGTAAAATTAAACATAGCTCTGAGGTTTTTGAAATACCATCCAATCAGAGGGACTTGTAACTTGTGCTTGTGACCTTAATATTGTATTTATTGATTGTGGTGCTCGTATATTCGTGTTCTAGTTCTAACCTCAAAAAAATCAAAATCTTTAAGTTAATTTGTATTTTTAAATAGAGCTACAAAGTGATTCCAGCTGTTTCCACCTTTGAAACCTTTTTTATCTTGTAGAGAATTTAATTCTCATTGAGCTCGGTTAGTATAAAAGTGCACTTTTGCGCACTTTCTCTAAAATTTAGCTTTAAAGACCTCTACCTAATATGGTATATTTTCCTCATTTTTGTCTGGTAAATGCCAGTTTCGATGTTATCTTAAGAAAAACAGTGTGCAGTTATATTTCTTATTAAATAACGATTATTTTAAAATTATTTTACAACATCATTTCACTTACTTAACGTTGATATATAGGATTTTAGTATTTTTGTTAAGAATTATAGTGATCACAATACAAAAAATTACAATTTCACTAAAAAAATGGGAAATAAAAAAAGGCAAAATTTTTTTTTTAAATCAGTTTGGTCTCTTAAAAAAAAATTCAAGAAAAAAAATTTTTTTTATTTTATTGACAAGAAAAAAATATTTTTTTTTCTTAAAAAAAAGGCGGGACCACGCCCATCTTTTTTTAATTTACTTCCTTTAAATTTTATATACTTAATTCTAAAAACAAAACTTTTAAATGTTGCTTTGTTCTTAAGATATTAATTAATGCCACAAAAAGTGAGCAAATTCCCCATAGTGCACTGCACACAAATCCCAGTTTCTAGCAATAAACATTAAGCTTAGTGTTTTGAACTAACGAGGAAAGTTAAGAGAAATGTTGATTTAAACCGCTTTCCAAACGCCAATATAATTTTTTGATGATAAACCATTTAGTCGTTGTTTATAAACAAATATATTTTTGTTCAAGCTTACACCTAAGTCAGGTTTGTAGCCAAATAATAATTGTCAGTACATATACAAGTATTTTAAGGTGGCTTAATAAAATTGAAATTGCAACTTACAGCATGTATTAATAACTAGATTAACATTAATTTTTTGAAGCACTAGCATTCCAGAGCGGTTTTCCAATCTGCTTCATGCGAAAGGGTTTTTTGGGCGAACATTGTAAAGTTGTGAATGGAACATACTTTGTTTATGGAACTTTCCCAAAGAAAACAGAGTACATCTTTTTTCGATTTTCAGTAAATTATACATATGTACATATTTCACATTTGTAATGTTTAACAAATTAACAGGACCTTTTACCGGTGAGTCTTTTCATGATTGGCTAGGTATTCCCCATTATCAAAGTACAACGGACAAAAAGAGCATTTGTGTGGACCGACTTCCTTATGAGTAAAAAAATGTTTTGTAAGAAGCGAGTTTCGACTAAATATCTGCGGGCAGTGAGGACACTTTTTCGGTCGGTCGACGTTATACATCATATTTTGTGATTGATTTCTTATGCCAAGAGATGCCTTGTACTCCTCCGACAAGTCACTGTGCTGCAAGATATGGTTCTTAAGAGTGGACTTGTGGGAATACGTCTTATAACATTGTGGACACTTGAAAAGACCGTCGATGTGGGTTCGTATGTGTTGACTAAGAGTATTTGCGTGTGTGAAGCTTTTTGGGCAATAGGAACAGCGGTGCGGTTTATCCTTTGTATGTCTGTTTGTTGTAAGGTGTCTCCTAAGTATGGATGAATGGGTATTCGGGCAGTAAAGACATTTTAGGTCGGGGGCTTCTTTCGGTGTAGGTTTATTCTTTGCTTGTAAAAGCTTATCACTGCAGCCCATAGTCTCAAAACCTTCCTCAATTTTCACTTGGCTGTACATTTCATCAAATCCAACATCTTCCTCCGGGTACTCATCTTCAATAGGTTCGTTTTTCACTTGAGCGTGGATCCATTCCTCATTCCCTCCTGAACCTTCTTCCCCGACATTCACTAAGGATTCCAGAACAACATGGCTTTCACAATTGGAAGTTTCAAAATCTTTCCTCTCCTGCAGATCGACCTCAGTAGCTTCGAAATGGCGGGGTTTCTCATCGAAAATAAATTCGCTTAACTCTTCGTCTTCATCTAGGAACTCTTCCTCGATGGCTTCTTCCTTTACTTCAACGTAAGAATGGTGGGGTTTCATTTCTGCCAATCCTTTCTTCACATTGCAGTACAGTTTAAATTACCCAGGTAAATTACTTTCTCTATCAACCTGAAATATAATGCGCATTTGTTAGTGTGTTCTATTGATTATACAATAAATAGCTTTAATTTTTGTAAATTTAACATTTACCTATTTGTTTACTTTTATCTAGTGCTGGCAAAAACCTCGATATAACATCGATACATTAAGGTCTTGAGCATATGTTTTTAACTTCTAGTGTGACCAGATCTTGTTGTTAAAATAACACAACGGAAATCGTTATTTATTTTTCTTCAATAAGAAATTGGTGCCAAAAAATATTTTAAACATTTTTAATTATTACATCAATCCTAAATTAGATTTTTATACGTTTTCACTTATTGATTGAGAAGGTTTACCACATACATTATTGTTTAAAGTCTAAAAACGTTGTTTGGAAATTAATATTACTTAAAGCTAAATGTATAAATTATTCTCTAAAAAAACTTAAAACCACTCCGTTTAGGGACTCCTAAGGTGAAATAATTAAATAGCTGTTTTAAAAGATATGGTTATAGTCAAAAGAGCAATATATTTATACCGGATTCTGTAAAATTTCACATAAATTTAAAAATTGTAAAGTTTAACCATTTTATCGGGAAAATCCTGGTAAACAGCTGACACCAAAGAATTGGACAGGAAATTATTCTCTGGACTCTCTATTTTCTCTCTGAGTCCTGGTAAGCGGTATGGAAGTCTCATCCCCCTTTTCGGAATTTAAACCTACGTCAAGTTCTCCTGCATTGGGGAGCTCTTCGCCGAGCCGAGAGCTCGAGATCCCGAAAGGACCCCGAACAGATGTCAAGTAACCACCAAAGGAGCAGCATCGTCGTCGTCCTCGCCCACGCATCGTTCTTTACCGTTACTGGTGTGGGCTCGGCTCAGTTCAGTTCCGTTTAGTTCGCCAATCGCACGAGTTCGATTCCCAAATCGCATGGATTTTTTTAACAGCCTGAACTTAGACAGCAGATACTATGGCAATGTGTAAGACGTGGATTAATGTACTGCAACCCATACAAGTGCGCGCTGAAAAGTCGCAATTAAAATTGCATTAAAAATTAAACGAATAGTGTTTGTGTGCGTGTCCGCGATGCGGAAAGTTTCACCCTGCGCCAAATTGGCAAAAGTTAAATGATTAAAACACCAAGTTTTGGCGAATTATGTGAAAGTTTTAATTCGTAGGCGAGCACAGTGTTCCGGTAATTTGTAGTGGAGGAAAAACAGCCCCCGAAAAAGGTAGAAACGTTGCTGAAAATCAAATCAAAATTTGATTTATCGCTGATTGGTTCCTGGTTGGCTGTTTGGCAGGCCATTTGAGTCCGCACACAAAAACAAGAACTCCCAGACGAACATGTATATATTTTCCACATAGGTACACTACAATACATATCTGTGGGTATATGGATACATATACTCTGTACGAATCTGTGTAGTATTATGGGCCTAGAGGAGCACTTCCTGCCCTTGTCACAGTTGTTACGTTTTCCCTATGCTGCTTCTCTCCAACTCACACAGACGGTCATCAAAAAGTCAACAAAAACAATATAAATTATGTTCGTGGAGAGGCACAAGGAGCAGGATAATAGAAAGCCTTGACTGCTTTTTAGGTATAATTGGAAATTGAAGAACGAAAAACGAAAGAACATTAGGTTGGTTAAAAGCGGGTGGTTTAAAAAATTAAAAATATAAAGCATTTTGGTTCAAGAGGAAATTTATATATTTTGTATATGACATAAGAATAACATTAATACATAACATTAACCAATAACCAATTAATATTTTTTTGAGTTTAGGTATTGGGGTTTTCGTTAATCAAAGCATAACAAATTTTAAGATAGATTTATATTTTTATAAAATATCTCATTCCAAAATTTCCTAGTCTTGAAAATCTTTGACGATTTTATTAAAGCCGTTCTAAATACATTTTGTCTAGGGTGATGTTTGATATTCTGAACACATGAATATAGTAATATAACATGGATAATTACCTAGATATTAGCCCCATAAAACTAAACAAGTTTTAAATGTGTATTTGGTCCTAAAAGTATGTTCTCAACACTTTCAAGTATGTTTGGTCAGAATTTCTCAAAGAAACAATGAATAGTTCGTTTTTGGTAGCATACTTTTACGGGTCAGAGAGTCCGTAACTTTGATTTTGTGGGAATCAAAATCTGTACGGCCCAGCTGACTAGGGACCCAGCGAAAGACAAAGGCCAAACACACCCAGATGTGTCTATATGTAACCGAAAAATTGTAAAACTTTTATTACCTTAGAGCAGGACCCGCTCCGCAGGGAAAACGGAAAGTCCTGAAAAATATTGCACGTATGCACGTGCAAGTGTGCCCGACTCTCTGTGTGTGTGTGTGAATGTTAGTGTGATTGTGATTTGTGTGCGTCTGCGGGTGCTCTTTCGCTGTGTGTAACCTACATTTTAAACGGCATCGGCGACACATAAGAAGCCAAAAGCCGTGGCCCAAACCAAGTGGGCGGCAATCGAGGGGGGTGCTTTTCGGCGTATATATGTATGTACGTATGTAAATTTGCCTTTATCAGTGCCTAAAAGTAGAGGAGCCCACACACATACACACACACACGAGTGCAGTTCTATGTGTCCGCAAAGTCTTATGTACCGCTAGATTCAACGGCACTCTCTGGGGGCAGGCGCGCGGCTCTCTCTAACTTTCTCTTTGAAGCGAGAGAGTGAGAGAGAGGGAGAGACTGCGAGAGCCGAGCTGCGGCGATGCAGAAGTGCAGGATGATGTTTGCGTTCGTTGCTTCCGTTACCGTTACTGTAACACTGCCCCTCTCCCACCCAACCCCTTGCATGTCCTTGCACACATACATACATACAGCCGCACCAAGACGTGCGTTCATTCACATCGCCGTTGCAAGTGTGTGCACTATAAAATAAGCTCTTTGAGTTTTAGAGAGTGTCAAAAAAGTATACAGTATATATATATCTTGAAGTTTATTAAAAATAGAGATGTAGATATATTTTGTATCTTTTTAAACTATTGTTTACTATGTTGATTGGAATCAGTCTATTTTTGCGATTCCTCACTTTTAGAACTCTTTTTGAACAGGGTAGAAAAATATATTAGATAGTATTTTTCTAAAAAAAATAGTATCTTCAGTATAGAAAATCAAACGAAAGCAATATATTTAAATAATCCCACATATAGAAGAGTTATAGAATTATACTGAATCTTAAGTAATGGAAAGTGTTGTCATTTTATTATTATATTGAATTTCATAAAAAAAATTGACAGTTATATAACTAACAAACTGGTTCAAAACGAAATCAGGAATGAAAACTATAATAATAAATACAAATTCTGCTTTAAACTAGTTTTTTCGAGTGTATGCAATGTCCACTAAGCTTCTGTCTGTCCCTTTCACCGAGAGGGTCTCTCAATCCCTGCCGCTTGTTATTGGACTTGCATTTCCGCTATTTCGCTTTTCAACCGGTGGAAATTTATATGCAAAGTGCCGGGGCGGAATTGCATTATGCACATTTTAATGGTTCGCCGAGACATAAAAATATCTCGCACTTACATAAATTGCTCTGCTCTTTGCTAGTTACTCGCTCACTTTCTCCAAGCCTTTTCCCTCTGGCCCACCGAAAAATCCAACTGCCTTACAACGTGTCTGTAATTACATAAACATTTTGCCCACCGTCAGGTTAGAAATATGCACGTATTTTTGTTTGCCAACTAAATGCCTTGTTAGAGAAATTTTCTTTCGAGTGCGGAAACTTTTAGTTTCCCCACTCTCTGACGCTCTGAAGGAATGGAAAATAAATTGCCCTCAAGGAAATGCAAATTGTTTTTCAAATTATACATTCCACAAGGAGGAAGTTTATGTCTTTGTTGGGCGTTTAAGATTGTTATCAAAAAGTGAGCAATGAAACATTCTAAAAAACATTTGATGGATGGTCTAAATATTGCTAGAGATATCAGTTAAGATAGTACATTAATTGAATATCTGAGAGAGATAACAACACTAATTGTTTCATTGATTAGATTTAATTTCAATATCCATATATGATTAGCTTGTTCCAGTACATTGATTTAACGCTTTTATGCCTGAAAAGGATTTAAAACTTTTTAGGAAACCAAGATTTATAATAAAAACACCTTATAGCAGGACTTAATTACCATTAAAAGTCAAGTCCCAAATATAACTGCTCTAAATAAATTATATTTATAATTTTTTGATTCTCAACATGTCATCCTCACATGTCTAACACACTTTATTAAAGCCTAAACCGAAGCCTTGTTTAAGAAATCGGCTCTGTGCCAAAGCCTATACATATTTCCAATTCATTTAGCCCCAATCTTTGCTACTTGAAATGTTCGTTGCAAAACATGTAAATGTCAAAAGCAGCAGATACAATCTGACGATCTGCTTCTCAACCATCCCAACCAAACCCATCAACGTCAGCAGCGACACCTACAATCTGCATATATCTGGCACTTGCCATCATCATCATCGTAAGTGCCAACAAGACCAACACCACCACCCACCCGACATCATCCTCATCGTTATCATCCTGAGAGCCAAACACATATTCCATTATAATTCCCGCCGCTACGTCCCACTTCATATCCCACTCCTGGCTATTTTTATGCCATTTCTGCATTGTTCATTGTTTAGCGCACATTATCGCATTTTCCTCTTAAGGCATCAGCCACAGATATTACAGCAGCCATATCCTCCGCCGCCACCTACATTCTACGTTCTACAATTGTAAATGGTGTTAGCTGGGTAACTCATGGCTACCACGGGGATATACCCTGTAGATCCCGCTTAAAAGATTAGGGAGCTTTAAGGAAGCTGGTGAAAGAAAATGGAAAAATTAAATATGTAGATGTGAAAATAAAAATCCATTAGTTCATATGTACCATAAAGAACATTATTTTCAAAGAACTTAGGAACGGAAAAGGGTGGTGAAATAAGGTGAACTTACTCCCTATCCCAAGTGAATTATCCATTTTTATTTATTGTATGTTTCAATATGATTTGAATTCTTCTTTACTAAAACTGCAAGCATGGAGGCTGACATCATATTTTTTAAATGTTAGTTGATAAGATATTTGTTCAAAACAGTTAGGGTTAACAGTTGGCAAAATAAATATAACATAAAAACAGTTCCTTGATTTTCTGTCATAATAATCATTTAAAACCTCACCCTCCTAAGTCGAGGAAAAGAATTTTAAATGAATAAGTTATGGTTCCAATGATATACATTTTCCATATTATTATTAACCCCATAGTTGTTCGCTTGATGTTTTATTTCTGGTGCTATATCAGTTCTTGTAGGGATGAGCTACGATTCCCGACGAACCCACCATACCCTCTTGATCTTGGTGGGATGGCAAGGGGGAAACTAAAACGATGATTCAGATTGTTGCCACACTTGGCTCACTAAGCTGCCACAGCGGGTGTCATGCTGGGATACGTGTGGGTGGCTGTGGGATACCCAGATACATATATATCCACCGCCACCAACACACTGACAGGACGGGTATCTCTCTGGGGCATACAAACACTTGGATGCGGAGTGGCTTTTATGTGCGCCGCAGTGCACTGGATACACGGGATTTCTGTTGGCAATGCCACTGCCAGAATGTCGGCTTTGAAATCGAAAACAAAGGACCCATTGTGGCCGCCGATGGCGGTGTCTGCTCCTCCCTTTTTGTTATCCTTTTGCCATTAAACAATTGTCGCCAGTGCGCATCAGTAATTAAGTGTCCCAGTGCATTTATGTATGTGTACATGTATGGGGGCATAATTACTATTTATAGATGATATTGGCTTACGTCTGAGTGGCAACACAATGGGCCAAGCGCATTAAAATGCAAATGTGAACGCCTAAAAGTAGGCAGCAAAAAGCGAAGGTGGCTTAAAATCTATGATTATTTTAGCGTGCGGGCAAAAACTTGTCTGTTTTTCTCTGCACTTGGATTACCTTACTTTTTTGGTGTCTCAATATATGCCCCTTACGTTTAAAACACAATTTTTTCTTGGCTTTGGTAAAAGATTTGTGCCCAAAATTTTAGTTCGAGTTTTATGTGAATCAACAAATAAAGTTTTTCTAAAAATGTCTTATTTTTTAGTGGATATTTGATTATTCATTTTTATGTAAGAAAACTTTTTTATGGACAGTTTCTTATACGTTTGAGGTAAATATTATTGGTGTAGGTTCTTGTCTGTAGAACCACATTATGTGGTTCGTTATTTTATTAAAGATCTGTTACAGGTATAAATAACATAAGATTTTGGTAGTTCGCGGGCTATTTAAGATTTTTTTTGATGGTGAATGTTTTGTATATATCAGAGTGCAGTGCTTATAATGATCTATGTAGTTTTCTTTAAATAAACTTGATCTCAGTTGTGAGACAAGTTTGGTTTACTATTTCTGTGTTCAATTTTTACTATACTGTATTAACAATATAGTTAGGAATGGAATTCTTTTGATTAACCGCGCCTGCGCTTGTTGGAGGCACGATTGGTGTTCTTCTTGGCGGCCACAGGGGAGTTCCTTTTGGCGGCTGCAGGGGGGTTCCTTTTGGCAGCCACAGGTGTTCGCCTCTTGGCTGGTGTGGCAGCTGCTTTCTTGGCAGCGTTGGCTCTGCGTTTTGGAGCCACAGTGGTGCGCCTGCGCCGTCTATTCTGTCGAGCTGCGTTTTTCTTGGACTTATTTGCCTGGGAGGAAGTGGAATCATCAGTGGCGGAACTGTCATCAGAACTGTCATCAGAACCCTCCGCTGAGGTAGCTGCAGTGTCATAATCATCTGAATAGTCAACTGTTTCACTTGCATCCTCTACTGGACTGGCCTCAGTAGTGGCGGTACTATTATCACTACCGTAGTCGTAGTAATCGGAATAATAGTCGTCGGAAGTTGCAGTGTCATTAGCACCCGACACGTAGGCAACCAATATGGCCAGACTCAAAACCAGCAACAGCCTCATTTTAGCGAGAGTAAAAGAACAGATCGGTAACTTGAAATATAAACTTCTGAGGAGAAAATACTTAAGCACTGGGTATTTATAGTCAGGAGAAATATAACAATCTATAAAGCTTTTTTTTACATTTGCTTTTAATCTATTTACATTGTACAAAGTACATAAGTACAATCTACATGTTGGTTTTTTCCATTCGTCATTTTTTTTTTCGTTCTAAGACATGAACACCTGTGTGTGCTCTACATCTTTGTATAATATTTTTGGGGTTGTTAAAAGTTGGGTTTAAGAAATAAAAAAAGTTAATTGGAATAAAAAAAATAATAAGAACGCACTGAAATGAATGAATGAGTCAAGGTTATAAGGCTTAAAATTGCAGCACTTTGGCGTTTCCGTATTAGATCTCTTAAAAAAAAATTAGAACGACGCAGTAGTCAAACATTGAACAAATATATATGTCACGAAACAAGACCTTATAATCATGAACTTTATGATTTTCGACAGAATTTTGTTTGAAAATATGATATTCTGATCCCTGATGCATCATTTTAATGTCTTTTGTAACAACACATACAACTTTCTTTTACAACAATAAGTTTTATTATATAAATACAACCTAATCAAACTGTAATGAAGTAAAACCCACAATCTTTTACGCAACGAAACACATGTTTTTAATTTTTATAGACTGTAAAAAGACGTCAATTAAATAATAATATTTGATTTATCCAGAGCGCCTGAGTCTTTTGGCCCCAGCCTTTGCCCGCTTCCTAGCAGCAACAGGTGTTCGGTTCTTACCCTTCTGTTTTTTATTTTTTTATTTTTGGCACCGTTGGCCTTACGACGTTTGGGTTTTGTCTTTTTCTTGCCATTCTTTTTATTGTTTTTTTTCTTTTTGGCTCCACCTTTCCTCTTTTTCTTGGCTTTTGATGCAGCAGTTACTGCTTCCTCATCATAATCGGAATCGCTTTCGGTATCAGAGCTGCTTCCAATATCGTCTTCAGCATCTCTATCGTCTACTGCAGTATCATCTTCGGAGTCACCTGTAGTATCATCTGCAGTATCATCAGCGGTATCATCTACAATATCATCTAGGTTATCATTTGCAGTATCATTTACGGTATCATCTGCCGTATCATCTGCAGCATCATCTGTAGTATCATCATAGTCATCTGCAGGAGGAGTTTCAGTTGTTTGTGCCACTGCCACGTGGGCTATACATAGAGCCAATGCCAGGACTAATAGAACTTTCATCTTCGTATTTGGAAGATTTCTAGCCGAAGAAAGCGCATTTCATTTGCTTTTTATACTCAAATGAAAAGTAAATATGGAGAAATTAAAAAAGCAAATACACACATGTTTCGTGAGTTTACTTTTGGCCAGCTGTGTATCACTTTTCAATTTGTTTTAGAGTTTTTGGATGGTTTAATGGGGTTTTCTTACTAATGTTTGGGTGCATAAAACTGTGTCATTTATGCACTAAAAACTTTATAATTATTCATTAGTTATAGAATTCTTAAAAGATTTTCTTGGTAAGCTTTTGCAGCCTGTCCAGTACGAGTATTTATAGAATTTATATAAATGCCCTAAAAATCTTAACTTAACACTCCACATTCATAAAACGCAAACCCTTAAAAACGTTTAATGGTTGTAATTATTTGATGTGAAGGCACGCACTGCTCGAATTATTTATGGTTATTTTAGTGCAAGAACAAATTTATATGTTTGACCTTTTTGCGTGCAATTTCAGCTTGGGATAACGAGGGAAGGAAGACCAAGAAGACCCAGATTTTCAAAGTTCGTGCCATAAATCTGCAGTTTGCATGGAATTAATACTCGGCTAAGGGAAGAGGGCGGCCAAAAGGAGGTGCTGCACATGCAACACACATTAGTGGGTCACCCGAAGATGATGACGCTGCTGACCGCAACAGCAATAACAACCAGAAAATTATATAAAATTATCATGCAGGGCAGGCAGCTGGCTAGTTGGCCCCACAACAGCGGCAGGCGGGACAAGGCTAAACATCAGCAGAATCAAAAGCAGAATCAAAAGCAAAAGCACCAGCTAATGGCGACGTATACGTAATATGCGCCATGGCGTATACGTAATGTGCACCGGGGGTTTGGCCAATTTGTCCAAGCGAACACTAAACCAGTGAGCCAACGGAAACGAGAACGAAAACTGAAACTGAAACTGAAACTCTAGCTGCTGCAAACTATAGAAAAAAAAAAAAAAACTGAAACCGTTAACGACGGCAACGAAACTTCTTGGCCAAATGGCGAAAGTTAGCAAACAATTGCCTATGTGTTGAGAGGACCGCCAGCCGGTGCAAAAATGACAAAATGGCGAAGTTAACGTTGCCTTGTCTACTGCGGCGACTGCAGCTGGTGGCGCTGCAACTGCAATTGCAACAGCAACCGCAACAACAACAGCAGCAGCAGCAGCAACAGCAACATCCACACGGCAGCCACCTGATGGCCATGCAACTGGGCCAGGCCGTGCTCCTCTACGGCTGCCTCCTGCTGCTCCACGCCTCCGTATCCGCCTCTGTCCTGGCCACGTCCTCGGACGCGACTGGTGGCCTTCCGGCCCTGGTGAATCTTTCCACAACGTTGGACCTGAATGGTTCACCAACGGACCAGCAGAAGCATGAGCATCTCGAGAAGCGCCCGCGGAAGCGGGATGCCGCCAATGTGCCTGAAGATGACGAATATGGCAGCTATCCGGACGACGTCGACGAGTTGGAGGCCTTGCTTAATAATAAGTCAGGTGAGAAGTCTATTCACTCGAAAACTTCCATAAAATCAGCAAACCCTCTGATAGATCCAAGAAATTATAATTTCACAAACTATTATAAATCTGTCTAAATTGAACAGTTTTTGGTATACAAAAATATAATATGATATATCATATAACATCCGATTTTTAATGATACTTAATAGATTAAAATTGTATGGATCATGCCAAAGGGTTTTAGCAATGACTTTATAAATATTCCGAGGTCTATTTATAGCTCTTATAATTCTGAAAATGTTGAAATTTTGTTATGATACATATAATATGTATATAAATTGTTTGCAAAAAGGATTTATAAATTTAAAGACAAAAGGTATTCTATCTACTCAAGATTAAGACAATACAACAAATAAAATTTTGGATTATCCCCACGCTAATCAAGTATTAACAACTGTTTAAATCTCAACATTTTTTAACAATTTTAATTATTATTATTAAAATTGCAAAATTAAATTTTCCTTTAAAATGGAGGTCTACATTTTAAGGGATATTCGTACTACCTAACTTTTAACAATCTACTACAGAACTCGTCGTTAAAGCAATACAAAAGCAATTAGTTTAGTTTTCAAACAAAGTTCACGTGCAACCTTTATACATTTATTCTGTTTAATTAACAAAAGCTACAATTAATTCAAGCTTAAACAACAGTATCAGCCAAAACAAATTTATTCCATTTATATCATTTAATTCATGAATAAGAGCATTTACTTTGAAAACTTATCTGTGCACTCCTTTGTATAATCCCATTTCGTAAATGAATATTTGTGGCTGCAGCTGCAAACGCAAATAAATGAAAACTGTGTTGATAATGCACTTGGCACGGGGTCTGCGTTTCGTTAGTTTGCATTGACCTTTGGTCAGTGCGGAGTTCCAAACCGAAAGCCCCAGAGAGCATGATAGCCATAAATTTGCACAACATCCACTAGCCACGCGGCTACTTCGTTGTTGTTTAACTTTTATTTTGGGCCACCTGGCACTGCAACATCTGCAGCATTCGCATCCCGACCGAAGGACCATGCAGTATGATTCACCAACTCATCCATTTTATTTTGGCCATGATGCGGGAATTACAAAATACCACAGTATGGTTGGTGGCATCATCGTATCTAGCCAATGGCAAAAGGAAACTCAATGAATGTGCCAGCAGATAAAATGGGATTTTAATGGAATTGCATTGAATATTTTGTTTATAATTAAATATATATTTATCCACGCTGTTGCAAAGATGCAAATCATGTTCAGAGTAATTTGCATGTCGACAGCAAACTGATTATTATATTATAATAGCTGTTTATAATGGGACTGAACATAATATTTGAACGCCATATTTATTTATTATCAAGAAATGGTAATTGGTGAAATTCATGTGCAAGCAGATAATATTAGATTTCAGGGGGATGGCATAAAATATGTAGAAATATGCACATATTAAATGGTACAAATGTGTTCAGCAATTTTTCTGAAAAATATTTAATGTTATTCTTGCAGTGAATTTGCTAGAGCATTTTTAATTAATCAATTAATTGTGTGTTTATGTGTACTCATTAGTAAATTCCTTATATATTATATTGAATTCCATATGAATTAACTCGTCAAATTATTAGTAAATTCAATTTACTGATTCCAATATATAGGAATTTCTCTTCCTCTTAAAGTTGATAGATAAAATAACACCACATGGCACTCATTATGCATAAAACTGCAACCATCAATTCTGATTTATCAATGGTTTTTAATTAATAACTTTGTTAACCCATTTCTAAAGCTCGATAATTTAATGAATTATCCGTACGGATTTTCTGTTCATTTTGACTGCCTGGCATTCATTTAATTTGCATTCTTTTATACTCGGCTTAATTGTTAATGCAAATTGGCTTTGCGCATTGCAGCTAAGGGGAAATATATTGGAGCACCGTGCAACGAGCTGAAGTGTGACGTCAAGCTGCTGCACGTGTCCTGCGACAAGGAGTCGCAAACCTGCAGCTGCGAACGCAACTACCCCGTGCAGCTCGGACTGATAAAGGGTTGCGCCAAACGTAAGTGGCTGCGAAATAACACAATGGATCTCTTCTCTATAATATATTTCTTTGTAACCCCCTTGGCAGCTAAAAAACTGGGCGATCAGTGTTTCTACGACGAGACATGCATCTACAACGACGAGAACTCCCTTTGTGTTCAGGTGCGGCACAATGCGATGTGCCAATGTGCCAGCGGATTCCATTCCGTTAGCTACGTGAAGCCAACGCGACGCGTCTTTTGCACTCCAGGTAACGTATAACGTCCGTATTTCCAAAGACTTTAAAATTGGGAACCCAAAACTCCACTTCTAGATTCCATAACTTGAGTTATCGTATCCCGATTTATACTATCCCACGTATCATCTATAAATTGGTAGTTGAATTCTCTAATATTCTACATTAAAATGTATCTTTTAAAAGAGGGTCAAAATTTTAGCCTATTTTCATGTTCGATTTTTTCGTATTTCCAATGGTCTCCAGAATGGGACCCAAAACTGCAGTTTCAAATTTTGTAACTTCGGTAATCGGATCCCGATTTAGACGTGGGATACCTCTATGAATTTGTGGTTAAATTCTCTAATATTATGCATTTAAATAGTTCTTTTATACCAGGGTCCAAAATTTAGCCCATTTTCATGTTAGATTTTTTCGTATTTCCAATGGTATCCAGAATGGGACCCAAAAGTGCAGTTCTAAATTTCATATCTTGGGTAATTCTATTCCGAATTAGACGTGGGATACCTCTATGAATTTGTTGTTAAATTCTCTAATATTCTGAATTCAAATACTTCTTTTATAAGAGGGTTCAAATTTTAGCCCATTTTCATGTTAGAATTTTTCGTATTTCCAATGGTCTCCAGAATGGGACCCAAAACTGGAGTTCTAAATTTCATAAGTTGGGTAATTGGATACCGAGTAAGACGTGGGATACCTCTTTGAATTTGTGGTTGAATTCTCTAATATTCTGCATTCAAATTGTACTTTTATAGGAGGGTCAAAATTTTAGCCCATTTTCATGTTCGATTTTTTCGTGTTTCCAAGGGTCTCCAGAAAGGGGCCCAAAACAGCAGTTCTAAATTTCATAACTTGGGTAATTGGATCCCGATTAAGGCGTGGGATGCCTCTATGAATTTGTGTTTGAATTCTCTAATATTCTGCATTCAAATTGTTCGTTTTAAAGAGGGTCAACATTTTATCCTATTTTCATGTTAGATTTTTTCGTATTAACAATGGCTTGAGTGGCAATCGCAAAAATAAATAAATTATAACATGCACTAATTTTAGGTATAAATACAAATAATATATATTATTGCAGATCTCAGCGAACTGAGTTCAGATCTGCCCACTTTGCTGGGCGTATCCACGGGTATAGCCGTACTGGCCGGTCTTATCTGCATGGTGCTGCATCTGTTTAGCAAAACGAAATATCCGCGGCATCGAAATTACGGAGATGCCAGCATTCCGCCGCCCATACTCTTCTCCAGCGATACAGGTGAGTTGGAATCCTTTTAATAAATATCCAATCATCATAAGGAATATGTGATCAATGATACACTTATTACTTTTGCTGTAGGCATTTTGTATATTTATTGCTTATGTGTGCTTTTTCTTACAAAACACTATGTTCGACTGAGTTTCCTAAGAAGGCTCTTAAGATTTTATATTTTACCAAGATTATTTATAGATTCGTTAGTCTGTTATAACATATTCGTTAAAATTAGTTTTAGGTTTCTCTAATTTCACCCTAAGGGCCATTAATGTAATGGAAGTCAGTTTCTGTTAGGTTTCATCCGAACTTTTATGAAAACTCTCAACTTGAGATCATCTTCTAGTTAAAATTTGTCGAAAAGTCTTAATGCTCTTCATCTTCAAACTTATCAGTCCATATTCGCCCATTAATTATGTGATAACAGACTCTCGAACCTAAACATGACATTGAGAAATCGGCTGTTACTTAACCTGCAAATCTCCCTCTGACCCGTTTACTCATGGATCGATTGCCTTGATTTCAGGGATACCGCTCACCGTTCACTCGGCGCGTCCGTCGTCGCGTTCCAGCATCCGGTCGACGGGATCGATTGGATCCTACGGCAATCGACGTGCCTCGTCCGGCGGACTGGTCGGTGGTGCCGCCGGAGGCGTGGCAGGCGGCGCGGGCGGAGGAGGAGGAGGTGGAGGAGGAGGAGGAGGAGGTGCGTCAGGCAGCGGCTCGAAGGGCATCCTGGTGTCGACGTCTCGAACAGGTGCGGCTAGATCGGCCGCCATATTGCTCATATCGTGTCACATAGCGGCGGTGTCCAAACAGAATTCCCGGGCCTCGTCGCGGCACACATCCGGAGCGGGCTGCAGCCAGCATTCGCGGGACGACCTTGACGATGGTGGTGGTGGAGGCGGAGGTGGTAGTGGGAGCGGTTGCCGCAGCTGCGAGAGCACGCTCTCGATGACCCGCCACCTGCAGAAGCAACTGAACCATCAGCGGCATCTGCTCAGCTTCGAGCTGTCGCCGGCGAGGTCGAGGAATCAGGATAGATTTAGGACATTGTTGGGCATGAATGGCATTGACAATTTTGGGGGCAATGAGGATGTGGACGATGATTGCGGTCCGCATAGCATAGATCCCAGCACCACAACAACAGTCCCTCATGCACATGCCCATGTCCATGCCCATGGCCACAATAGCGATCCGGCTGATCCTGATCCTGGTGGCAATGGCTTTGGTTACGGCTATGGCCATCTTAATGTGGTTGGTGGTGGTTACGGCGATGCCGACACCAATGGCGGCGACTCCAGCGGCGGCTATGCCACTGGCGCCGAGCTGCATCACCTGCAAATTGGCGCACTGCCGACGCCGGCGAGTGAAACGCCACGATTTGCGGTAAATCAACTCAAACATCAGTCATCCAGCATTCATTGTTCGATCGCGTGGTCTGCTCATCCGCATCCCCATCCGCATTCCGTATCGCCATGTCCACCCCAGACAGTTCCACATTACAACAGAAACAAACTCAACTATGTGCTAATCGTATCTGTTCGATCGTTGCATCCTCTCTTGGTTAGAAATACTTTAAAGTCCATGCTAGCCCTTAGTTTGTATTGTAACTTTTTATTTCTCTAAGTTCCAGATCTTGCAGTCCTTAGTGTACGAACTTTAGATTGTTGAAAATTAAATTAAATTCTGATAAAACTCGCCCTGTTACCAAAAAAGACTTCCCAAAAATGATTATTCATTATTTTAATTTCACCATAATTTTCTGCAAGAACGTTTTTTCTTTATTTTTATGTAAATGCTCGACTCATGCCAAATTAAATACCAAAAAAGTTTAAATTCATGGGAAATTCATTAAAACTCATTATAATTCCAGCATTTAGATGGGGGAAATGAAAACCTCGCATCTCCCATTAACATGACCTAATTTAAATACATTTTTTCATAGAATTTAATCATAATTTTACAACGGTAGAGTGAACAGTCCACCCCGCATAATTATCAGACTCTGTATTACAAACATGTCTCATGGAGCCATAATTAAATCTCACAAATTGAGTTATTCATGCAATCTCATATCGTTAATTCAGCTCAGTTTACTTACAGTTGGATACTTATTTTGTGTACATTGGCGTTGGTTATCCCTATTCCCCTGCTTGTCTAATTAGTGTTAAAATTGACAACTCTGTCTAGTTAAAAACGATAAACTACAAACAAATTTTTGCGTTTTCTTGATGATCGATGTTAAATGTGCTTCCGAGCTCCCTCTGTTTCCAAATACCAAGTTGTTACATTGTTTTACTTTCTCTATCGTTACCCAAGAAAACACACACACACACACAGAACACAACGCAACACACGCGCACTAAGCCACAAAATAATTTTATCGAGATTATGATAACACCAATAAATAACTGAGAAGAGAATTAAAGGAATTTATTGTTATAAAACACAGATTCTAAGGATGCTGACAGATACATTTCGACAAGATGATATTGAAGCAATATGGCGGTGACTATGTTCAAAGAAAATCTTTCCCAAACTTACACAAAAAAAAAACAAAATAATAATATAGCATAATCGTACACGATTTTCTAGCTAATATATTAAACTATTGCAAATTAAGAAAATTATGCCACACACTCACATGGACACACTACACCCACACACACACACTCAATTGCAATTGCATGCATCCTGCCAGCAGCAAAGGACACTTGTCTGCCGGCAGGATTGTTCACGTCACTCAACCTCCGGCTGACCTTTGCCTGAACTTATTCGGTTGAGTCCCTAAAGTTTCCACACCCTATCGCATACACACTCAAACACACAAACACACACTAATCGATAAACGATATGAAAATTTTCTTCTATATATGTTAATCCCGCAACTTTATATGTGAATGTCCTTCGCTTCCTGCTCTTCTTCAACGTCTTCTACTTTTCTTCCTGTGCGCCTTGAATTTTCAACTTAAGATGACTGCATTTCGAGACAAACAAACTTTTCGTATATAAAGTTCTTCCCTATCTACATTCTTAACCCATAGACTAGTAAGAGGTTCATTGGCAAGTTTTGTGTTCTGTAAATCGACATCTCGCGTTTAGACCTAGGAAAAATGGTCGTGTCCGTACCACTCGACGTATGTGTGACATAGAATCACAAAAGTTTAAGTATGTTTGAACACGAAGGGGTAGCAAGATGTTCCCAAGAAAAAAATGGAATAGATATTACAAAATGTACAAACTTACTTTACATCGGATTGTTTAACTGGTTATAAATCAAGTACAGTAATAAATATATATTTTGCGAGTGAGATAGAGCAATTTTTAGATATAATTTATTGAACCTCATTTTTAAGAACTTCAAGGAGTGCTATGAACATTGCTAAGATAAAATAAGATAAGAAATGGTACGGAATAGGAATAAAATTGATAATAAGGACGGTAAAAGAACATAGTTAGGAATTTATATCAGAATGAGGGCCCCATAAATCTTTTTAAATTGTTTTCCCAACTCAGTAATACTTCTCTACTTAAGACTCTTCAGCTGCTCGCACTCGCTAAGCTTGCTTTCCAATCGCTTCGGAATGATCTTTCGCTGTGGCTATGCATCTCTGTCTCCTTTCTTTCTCATATATATCTTACTACTATCTTTCTCTCCGCCGTTTCTTCTAACCAAAAAACGCTTCGATACTCACTCAGTTTTGATACAGCAACCCCATCCGACAAACCCCATATTGATTAACTTTTCTGACACCTGTATTATGGTTGCTTCGTTTATAGGTTCTCGAAGACCAAGTCTAGCGTCGGTGCACAGCACCAGTTCCTCGGTGCGCAGTTACAGCATGATGCGCTTCGAGAAGGAGACGCAACAGAAGGAGATCCGCCAGGAGATGAAGTTGCGACTGGCCCGTTTGCAGCAGCAGCAGCACCTGACGCAGAACAAGCCACAGATTGTCATCGGTGAGGCACTGATGCAACACGGAGCCCTAAGTCGCGTCACAATGGCCACGCCCAGTCCCCTAACGCCCAACTCACTGGATGAGCTGCTGCCGTCGCTGGATGAAAATCAGGAGGTGAGTTATGAAATCTGGAAACAATAAGGTGTTCCTGACTAAAAATGATACTAGAGACAGAGATTATAAATTTGTTTCATTTGAAAATTTTACAAATTCAAATTTTCCTAAAGAATTCGCGGCAAACAAATTACAAAAATTGGCATATGACCGAATGCTGAAGAATTCGCGGATTAAGTTTGATCGTTTTGATATTGATGTGGCTTGATAAATATATGTATGTATTACAAGATTTTCTTCCACACCACTCAACCTTTATCCACAGTATCCTCCCAGACTGGAGACGACGCTGAAGCAGTTCATACAGCCTCAGGTTGGAGGAGCAGGTTCCTCCGGAGCTGGAGCCGCATTGAGAGCAGCTGCTTCCCAATCATCCCCGGGCAGTTCGAATGGTTATCACGGCCCGTGCAGCTCTTCGACTGAGGCCCTCTAAAGTTAGTTCGTGCATAAGTAGGCCCAAGTTTAAAATTAGCTCGTAAGTAATCAAAGATCTATCATCTAATTTGCGTAGTAGGCAAGGAGTTGCGTTATGAGACCGTTGCTAATTAAATTGAATTCAAATTGAACGTCAAACGTGTTGTAGTCAGCTTAGATTATGTGTAACATAGTAAGTAAACCAACTAGGTTAAGTTTAGAACTAATACCAGGTCATAAGCGAGTTCTCAAATTAGACAGCCTTAGTGTGTATCATAAAACGTAGGAGCTAATCGAAACATTTTGTACGTGTGTGTATATTGTCATACAATTTTTTGTAGAAGTTATACAAGCGAAATCCAGCTGTTGAGAAAAAGGCAAGGCCAAGCCAAGAAATGGTAGAGCCCGATTAGAAAGCTACTGAAGAATTGATATACCACTAGGCTTTTCACTTATGTAGATCGACATGAATTGATTAGCTTAAATTAGTCTAGTGTTTATCGTTAGTGTGAGATAGTACTGATAAAATATACGCAAGATGAATTTATACAAAATCGGTTTATACAACAGTAGATTCTTGTACATTGTACTCACGATGATAACTATATCGGAATATGCCAGATTGTTCTAGCTAAATCAATAATTATGTTAAGCCATCGTCACGAAATAAATCAAAAGTGTTAATAGAGAAAAGTAAGTCAGTTTAAGTGAGGGAAGAGAGATACTTATTTCGTTCTTTGTAGAAATAGGAATATTTAACGCACATTCCGATCGCTGGAAGTGCTAGGTCAATTTTAGTTTACGACTTACGAATTTTTCTACAGAGGCGTTTCAAGTGAATACAATAATCGAAAATGTGTAGATCAAATGTACATTACTTACTCGATGGCAATATTATTTAATATTTGATACCAAGGTTGTTGACTGTAGTTGATGTTCTCTACATCGTTTGGTTCCATGATTTATCGTATCCTATCTATAGATCCGTTCTCAATAGTACGAAATACAGCAGCTATTAAAAAATCGTTAAATATACACCTATACAAGCGTATACCTAAGTGTATGCAAATTTGTACTTAACTATGCTATACATACGATGAGTAGACACATATCTGGAGTTCAGTGTTGGTTGATGTTGGGAGTATAAATAAATGGAATTTTGTGTTTTCAACAACTAATGGATGATTATTTTTTTTAGATTGTTATGGATTTGTTTAATAAAAATGGTAGTAGTACATATATAGATCTTTAATGGAAGCCAAAGTTAACTCAGAAGTACTAACCATGTACTAACATTCTTTATCACCATTGTCTTAAAACTCAATGTAGTCAAATTCTTGGATGAAATTGGAAGATTCAGAACTGTATACGATAAATTTATTTGAGCTAAGAAGGATTGTAAGTGTCCTAATTTGGATAAGGTTTTTCCAGTTTCTAGGGATAACAAACAATTTTGAAATCAACGAACAAGAATCCTTTAATCCACCTCCTCGATAGTGGGACCAGAGCCGCCAGTTGCCCCCGAATTGGAGCCTCCGGTGGGAGGCGGAGGTGGAGCCATTCCAGAGCCCTGATACAGTCTCGTGATGATCGGGCTGCAAATCCTCTCCAGCTCCTGCTGCTTGTGCTCGAACTCCTGCCGTTCGGCCAGTTGATTGGCATCCAGCCAGGCGATTGTCTCGCTGGAGCGCTGCTGAATGGTCTCCCGATCCGCAGGACTGAACCGGCTGCTCAGTTGCTCATCATCCAGGGTGGAGCGAAGTTGGAAGCAATAGGATTCCAGCTGGTTCTTGGCATTGATCCGGTCCCGCTGCTGCTCATCCGCCTGGCGATAAGCCTCCGCATCGTTTACCATCCGCTCGATGTCCTCCTTGGAGAGACGACCCTTGTCGTTGGTTATGGTGATTCGGTTCTCCTTGCCTGTTGACTTCTCCAGTGCAGTCACGTTGAGAATACCATTTGCGTCAATGTCAAAGGTCACCTCCACTTGGGGCACTCCACGTGGAGCCGGCGGAATGGCCGATAGTTCGAATTTACCCAGGCTATTGTTATCCCGCGTCATGGCCCGCTCACCTTCAAACACCTGGATGAGCACACCTGGCTGGTTGTCCGCATAAGTGGTGAAGATCTGCGTCTGCTTGGTGGGTATGGTGGTGTTCCTTTTGATCAGCGTGGTCATCACTCCGCCAGCGGTCTCAATGCCCAGGGACAGAGGTGTGACATCCAGCAGAAGCAGATCCTGTACAGCCTCCGACTTGTCGCCATGGAGGATGGCAGCCTGCACTGCTGCTCCATAGGCCACCGCCTCATCGGGATTTATGGACTTGTTCAGCTCCTTGCCGTTGAAAAAGTCCTGCAGCAGGCGCTGCACCTTGGGTATCCTGGTGGAGCCACCTACCAACACGATGTCGTGGATCTGCCCTTTGTCCATCTTGGCATCTCGCAGTGCCTTGGCCACCGGCTCCATGGTGCCACGGAACAGATCTCCGTTCAGCTCCTCAAAGCGGGCTCGTGTTACCGAGGTATAGAAGTCAACGCCCTCGAACAGGGAATCAATCTCGATGCTGGCCTGCGTGGAGGAGGACAGAGTTCTCTTGGCCCTTTCGCATGCGGTGCGAAGGCGTCTCAATGCACGCTTATTCTGGCCAAGATCTCGCTTGTGCTTGCGCTGAAACTCCTGGACGAAATGGTTCACCAGCCGGTTATCGAAATCCTCGCCGCCCAGATGAGTGTCCCCGGCGGTGGCCTTCACCTCGAAGATGCCATCCTCAATGGTCAGTACGGATACATCGAAGGTACCGCCGCCAAGGTCAAAGATAAGGACATTCCGCTCGCTGGTGCCCTGCTTATCCAATCCATAGGCAATGGCCGCCGCCGTGGGCTCGTTGATGATGCGAAGGACATTCAATCCTGCGATGGCGCCAGCATCCTTGGTTGCCTGGCGCTGGGAGTCGTTAAAGTAGGCCGGAACAGTGACCACTGCATCGGTGACAGAGCCACCCAAGTAGGCCTCGGCCGTCTCACGCATCTTGGTCAAGACCATCGAGGACACCTCCTCCGGATAGAAGCTCTTGCGCTCGCCCTTGTACTCCACCCGGATCCGGGGCTTTCCGTTCTCGGCGACCACCTCGAAGGGCCAGTGCTTCATGTCCGACTGGACGGTGGCATCATCGAACCGGCGACCAATCAGCCGCTTGGCATCTGCAAGTCAGAATCACTCAGTCAGAATCCAATAAAACAACATCAGCGCACTTGGACAACAGATTCGCTTTATTAGCTAACATTTACGGGGTTGGTAGGGTAAAAGGGTATGTGGTGTTGAGTCTGGTAATTGGATTTGTATTGTGTGTCTGGGCAGTTCTAGGCTTTCTAGGCGGATTCTATGCGGACCCTGAGACTGAAATGAAAGTACAAAAAAGAGAAGAAAGAAGACTTGCATTAGATCTGCTCAGCAAATCTCTGGGATGGGAACATGGAAATATGTGCAGAAAGGACTGAAAACTGATGCTGAATAACTATTTACAGAGATGTTGGCACTACTTCTTATTAAGGAGGAGTTTTTGAAGATTAACTATGTTAAACGGATTAGTTTCTTCTAGCAGATTTAAAAATCGAATGAAGATTTTACAGTATTTGAAGTATTAGCTGTTTGTGTCATATCTAGGAAAAATATTGAAATTTCTGAGATACCATGATTTAAAATCGGTTTAGAATAAGATAAGAGCGGAGCTTAAAAGACTGTGCTTATAAGTTATTCTATACCTTCTTAAACTAAAAGATCATGATATTTTCGGTAACATATTCTAAATAAAAGCAATCATATTTTACATTGCAAAATGTCTAAGTCCCGGAATTCCTCTTTTATGATATATTTTTTTATTTTTCTTAGCTTATTATATCTTTTCAATAGATTTTCAGAAGTCATAACATAGAAAAATCTACGACATTCCGCAGCCAGCATGAAGACTATTTATGCGAAAGCAAACGCTTCTGACAATCCATAACAACTTGCACTGAGACTTATTTTCATTATTTCTGCCGACACAAATGATGCCAATAAGCATGGCAACAATTTTTGTTGGCACGAACCAAACAAACTTGGATGCCATTGGGAGGATGGGGAGCCGCATCAAAGACCGCGCCCCGGGAGGCGGGAAAAAGAGGCCGAAAGAACTGACACAACAAGTGGAGGTGTCATTAGACCAAATGAAGGAATGGGGGAAAGCCTGAGGGGGTGGATGTCGACTCAAGTGGGAGGGAAGATTCTCTCGCAATGGGAGGAAAATTGCTCGACCGCAAATGGGACTGCATTTTGTCGCCAGCGAGTGAGAATTTTCTTAAAATAAACCCCAAAGCGAGATAATAAACAAAATGTGCGCACAGTTCATTCATGAAAATGTTGCCAGTAATTAGACGAGATCTTCGCGAATCCCAGGCAAAGATTGCAAGATCTGTGGCAAGGACATGGCAGATGAGACTCACCGAAGATCGTGTTGTTGGGATTCATGGCCACCTGGTTCTTGGCCGCATCGCCGATCAGACGCTCCGACTCCGTGAACGCCACATAGCTGGGCGTGGTGCGATTGCCCTGGTCGTTGGCGATGATCTCCACCTTGCCATGCTGAAAGACGCCGACACACGAGTACGTGGTACCAAGATCAATGCCAACCGCTGGTAATTTGGGCATCTCGGCTGTGGCTTTAATTAGACCCCACCACCACGTCAAGGTCCCGCAGAGAGAGAGATCGAGAACGAGGCGAAACGAATCGGATTCGGAATCGAAAATGAAATTAAAATCACAGTCTCCCCCTTTTTTTTTTGTTCTGATTACACAACGGAGTGTATCCTCACCCAAGTTCCCCGGGCAGTCAGCGCTTATCCTTTAGAAGGCGAAACGATATAGATACAGGGAGATGATCAGGAACAGCAGCACGAAGGTCAAGACTCGGAAGAATTCGAGCGCCTTCTCTCTTTGCAGCTCCACAGCGTCTTCCGTTTATCCTCACGTTGCCACAATGAAATCCAATTTGATCCTTACTCCCGACCTCGTCTTCAAGGGGGTTCTCTTGAGATATCTCTAACTATATCGACCTCGGAGAAATTGCAAGATGCACGCGCCACGAATGCCACCAGACAACTGGCGGGCCGAGTGTTGCGACAACCGATCCCTTGCCAAAATCGTTCGATCATCGACAATGCTCATGCTCTGCAACATAACATCGGTATTATTCGGTTCTGGGATTGATTAAGGTGTCTCACCTGGCAGTATGTTGTCCTACATCTAGTAATAATAACCGAATCTGATCTATGCTGAGGAGATTTGGCACTGAGCCCCGAAGACCTACGTCACCTTAAAATAAATATAAAATGATTTATTATAAAAATTAATCTCCTAAGCCTGGTACCCGCAGACCAAAGAAAATACTCAAACAGAAAAACAAAAGATTTAAAAAAAAATAAAAACAGAAAATTCATTTTCTTCATGCTGTTTAGATTTTTCTTTTTAGTTTTTCTTAAATTAGTATTGGTCTTTAAATACCCTTTAATATATATATGTATTTATTCTACCTTATTATATGGAAAAACTTTTCATTCCCCTAAAATATATTTTTATAATTACATATTTAATGTTGGATATATTTTTAAATGGTTACAAAAAATGTATTTAAAAATTTTTCAAATCAAAATAGTAAACACATTAAGGTATTAAGATTTGACAATACGTTTTTTCGATTTCCGGTATTTTGATCCAAACAAAACTGCATACATGTTTAAATTTACTTTAACTATCTTAAGACATCTGTGTTAATATACAAAAGTTTAAAGCCAATACGGCAGTCAAAGTCAAGGTTGTGCATCGAGATATAAACTGCTCGGAACATCTTATATCTTACCACAAACCTGCAGAGTCTTGGCCTTGCGAGCAGATGTTTCTGTACGTCTATAGTAGTGACATATAAAAAATAAATAAGATATAAGTACCCGACTTGAGTGGCTTAGAATCATTAATTGTTTTTAAGTCGGTCCACAGACAACACCTGCAATGAAATACTTTGTGATCTTTGCTCTTGCTGCTTTCGTCCTTCTTCAGGCTGCATCGGGTTTCAAGCGAATAGTCTATGTGGTGCCTGTAACCACCACTAATACGACCACGACCACAACTACGCCATCAACATCAACGAACTCCACATCCTCAGCGAACTCAACATCCACAACAAACACCACCACAACCGTCGTGACTCAGAGCATAGTCTACTGCTCCTGGAAGAACAACTGGTGCCGTCCCACCTCGAACACCGCGAGTGTTTGCAAATGGGGCATCTGCAACCTCTTTGGCTAAATCAATAGTCAATAAAAAACGTTGGCAATGTTTTAGCACAAATTTTCATGGGTTTTATTTGAAAGTCTGGCTTGGTCAAAAAAGAGACTTGCTGGAACGGTTTCATTCTTAACTTGATACTGGGAAAACCACACGGATCTGACCCGCTGCGTTATAAGGCTCATATATGAAAGCGTTAGCAAAAATAATAATCCATACTAGTCTTAGTGGCTAACTAAATTCGATTCATGCAAATCATCGCCTAATAGGGTTAAAGCTTAGTGGGTTAGCGCTAGGAGATAAAGTAGAGGCGTGATTTGGGTTACTTGTGTGAATATTAGTCAGTTGATGAGGGTGAAACAATACTTGACCCTTCAGAGGGTCTTTACAGATTAAACTAATTCTATACTAGGGTTAAACGATGCGGACTAAACTTAACTTAGGATATGCATATGTGATGGACAAAAGCTTCGGTAGATTGAAGATTTTTAGGATAATAATTCTCGCACAATGCGGCATAGTTTTATTAAGAAATTTTGCGGGTAACTAACAAAACATTAGTTTCACTTTTTAATTTGGCAACATAAAAATAACTAAAAGTGAATGTTTTCAGATGTTTTACAAAAATGTATATATTATGTACATTTATAGCACATAAGTAGAGCCGAAGTATTTATTTTCGTTTAGGATACAATGGAAATAGTAATATACTCTGCACCTCAAGAAATTACGAGTATGATCATTTTCGTTTTGGCGCTAGTAATAGCAAAATATAAACATGCCATAAACCTTTTGGTCTAAGTATCTGATGAGACAATGTATATTGCTATCGTTTATTTTTTTTTGTTTTTGTATATATATGCGATAATATTAGATAATATTGTAAGTTCGATTTTTAACACGTTTCTCAATACTCTTATCAGTTACTATCAATTTTAGTTTGGTTTCTTTCGTTCTTTTTTTGTGGTTTCGTGGCCACTGAGCAGATCTTATTGTATAATTTTTAATTAGTATTATGTATTCGATTTGCTTTCTTGATTGCCGCATCACTTGGTGCGTCCACTAAGTATAACGTTCGTAGAATTTTTGCATCGCTTTTACAAAAATATACAGTTATTATCATTTCTCGCTTATATCTCCTCCTACTTTTCCCCTCAATCGTTTGTATTATTATGATTCGTAAGGCAAAGTTCGTGTTTATGTATTTGTTCTATATATAAATGTATGGGGTGCCTAATTGTTTTACAAGTCGCCAAGTTCTCTGTTTCTGTATCGTTCAACTAAATGCATAATTTGTCGTAATATTAATTCATAAAAATAATTGCTAGTGCCTCGAAATCACTAGGCAAGTGGAGCTTGTATGCGGGGATGATAAACACATATAGAGAGCTAAACACAAAGTACAAAAATGATAGACTATTTTAGGGATAACATGGAAATTCGGTTCAGGCGGGGGATGTGACATGGGCGTACAATCGGCGGCGGAGAAAGTGATCTGCTGTTCTCAGCGCCTAACAATGCTGGAAGGTCTTGGCAGACCGCTGCGCTTCATTTGCGAGGGTGGCCGCAAACCCGAGGGCTTCGGTATGCCAGTGGCTCCCGTGGTCACCTGGGTAAGCTTCGAGGAGAGCGCCTGCATGTCGAAAGTGTGCTGGGGATTCTGCTGAGGAACATTTCCGCCGTTTACCGGTCTGCCGGAGTCCTTGTTTCCATAGAGACTGCCACGCGAGGAGGCTGACGAGAGGCTCTGGAATGGGTATCATCGAAATTACCAGAATGTTGACATCAATAACTTAACAACTAATAAAAACTTTTATCTTATTATTACAAGGACTAAATAAATTTACAGAAAACGAAATCTTCAACCTTGATCTTGATTTTAACCGATCAAAATTGTTTTTCTTATGTTGACCAACCTCAGGAGTTTCCGCCTCTGGAGCCGTTTTAACACTCAGACTGTAATATCCCGACGATGGACGTGCCAGTCCATTTGCCCCTGCTCGTTTCGCACCAGCAAGACCAGGAGCACGCAGTCCGCTTACCAACTTGGGTACTTTAAATACACCAGAGTCATCCTGGAAAAGTAAAAAGGTAAGAATTAAAAAGGGTCGTAATGAAACTATTGCAAACTCACCTCCTGGGTCGGTGTTGCTCCGCGCAATCCGCTCATCAGCTTGCTAGGCTGCGCACCCGGTCGACGTAATCCACCACCCAAACTTGGTCTTGGCAGGGCTCCAGCACCAATGCCGCTCATCGTGGAGGACAAATTGTGGAACGATTTGGACTTAATGCCCATGGGACTTTTCAACTCTCCGCTACCGGTGGCCGGCACTGTGACAGTGGCTGGCATAGTAGACGCGGGAGTGGTGTTAAGTCCGGCTCCGGCGGATGTGGCTTTGCTCACCGTGGTAAACTTTTGCAGACCACTGATGTAGCGAGGCCGGGAAAGAGAGCGCGGCTGGGGGAGAGTCGACGCAGGCGCTGGGTCCGCTGGTGGCGGTGCTTCCTGTTGCAGAGGTCGTCGTTGAAGCAGGCTCTTTTCCTTGGGCTTCTTGTAGGTCAGATAGTTACTTGCATTACTCTCTGCCTTGTTGTTTAATACGCTGTTCTGATCTCGACGAGAAAGACGACCAGGTGGAGAGCCCTGCCGCTCCTCCTCCTCGTGCTGAACATCTTCCACCAACTGCTCTTGCTGTCCCTCTAGGTGTTGTGGTTCATCGTCTATACAAGGCACAATAATCTCTTGCTGGAGTCGCATCTCTTTTGAAATCTTAATGGTCTTGAAGCGATCCCGATCCCGTTCCCTTCGCTCCGGCAGCTTATAGCTGGACGGATCAGTCTCTGCAGTCACCTGGGACTTTGGAGGCTCCTCCGCTGGCTCGGGATCGGGTTCGGGTGCTGACTGCTCCGTGTGTGGCATATCTCTCCGTTGGACGATGAATGAGGCAGAGCTGCCGCTGGCCGAGCTGGCATTGCTGCCGTGCATAGCACTCAGGTTGACATCGTCGTAGAGGCGACTTCGACGACTGAGCAGCCGTTCGCCACCTCCACCGCTGCTGTTGCAGCTGGAGTGGCTCTGGTTGAGAACTGGAGTTTCAACCTTTTGAGCTGTCGCCTGTGGCTGCTCCTCTTCCCGTTCCTCTGACTCCGGCTCATCCCTGTGGAAGCGACGCTTGATGGTTTCCAACGACTTCTGCATCTTTAGCTGCTCCTTGTTTAGCGTGTTGACCTTTCCCAACTCGGAAAGCATGTGCTCGAATTGCTCCTCGTCGCCCTGCTGTGCTAACATCTCCACCTCCGCCTCGGCCAAGTCCATGACGCACTGCATCTGCTTGTGCTGTTCGGACATTTGCAGGCTGTAGGTGCCATCCAGCGGCTGTTCGATCTGCTCTAGCAGCTCCATTGTGTCCAGCACGAACTTCTCGCCATTGAATGGAGCTGTCTTGGCCGCGGGCTCAAAGGTGTTGTTATGTCGCCCTGGTGCTGCACTGACTTGTTTTTGCGGAGTAGCGTTAACAATCGGGGACAGGTTCATGTCACCACGTAACTTCAGAGTGGGGGTATATCCCGTCTTGTTATTATTATTGTTGTTGTTGTTGTGGTAGCAGTGGGAGCGCATGTTAGTGGTCAGTGGGGTGGAAGATTCCATGGTGAGCAAGGCCAGCTTTCGGTCAATATTCTCGGGCGTTTCGCAGCGGCCCTCTGGAGTGTTGCAACCTTCTGTAAAGGTAGTGTTCATCTGCCGTCCTGTCAACACCTGAGTCTCGTCAGCCTGAGCAGAACCCGCATTGGGCTTCTTGAAGGTCGCATTTCCATCCACTGGCAGGGACTCAGATTCTGACTGCAGGGCGGAGGTTGTGAGGCTATCCACCAGGTTAAAAGTGGTGTCGCCAATCATTTCCTCGCCCAGAATCATGGTACGCTGAAGGGCAGGACAAACAACTGGCAACACTGCGGGCATCGTTCGATCCGCTGCCAAGGGGATGGACATGCTGTCTGTGCTGTTGTCCATGGTGCTGCAGCCGGAGGCGGTTTTGCTCAGTGTCAAAGATATTTCGTCGATCTGGCCGATGTGCGAGTCCTTGATAAGGGTGCCATCTTCCTCGCACATGGTCAACGACTCCAGCGCCTTGCGATCCCGGATCATGTCACTTAGCGTATATCCGCCCAAGCCACCGCCCATTCCCATGTTATCTGTCGTCTGGTTGGTAAGTGTGGTGGTTAGGCTAGGCTCTTGCTCCAGGCCGATTGTGGATTGGAGGAAGTTTAGGTTTGTGAAGTCTGCCGATGTGATAAGCGAGTTGTTCATTCGCTCCGTGTTCATGGAGGAGCATATGGAAGACGGGGGCGAGGTGTCTTGCAGAAAGGATTTGTGCATATTCGTCGTGACCAGACCGCCAATTTCCAACTGGAGCATGGCCGGGGTACCCGAGACCGCTCCGGTTCCAACTCCGCTATCATTTCCTGCTCCATTTTGGCTCTGAAAAATTAAGGGTTCTAAATATAATAAAAAGTAATCTAAAATTTGCAATTTCTACTTACGAAATCCAGATTCCGACGCTTTGGGCGGGTGAAAGTTTTCGAATTGTGTTTGAAGGCTTTCGTAAAAAATAAGAGTTTAAAATAAATTAGATTCTTGAGTTTCGCACTCGGTGAACTATATACTAATGAACATGATGATGTCTTAACCTAATCAAACGTTTTTAGCTTTCTTATTGCTATTTATTTGTGTTTTATCTCATGTAGTTGTTAAAAACCATCTCCTATTAGGACATCCTCGTCGATGACGAGTTCAAAGATATCCTCATCTGAAATCAAAGTGTTCTCGATTTCCTGTTCCAAAGAATCGACTGGCGCGGCCCTTAATGGAGTGATGGCAACCAGTGGAGGCATATCATCAAAGTTACTGGAAACTAAGTCCATCTTGGAATTCGACAGTGTCATATTCTCCACCGCTTGGTTTAAAGGATCCACCGCATTCGAGGGGGGACTAAAAGCATTCTTTTGAGCCTTTGTCTTGATGCTTAGCCCTTTAACAAATCCGACTGCAGGGTTGATTGTTTTTTTAATCGATGGAACGCTATTTAACTTAGCTACTTCCGGTTGAAATTCGACTGGTTTTTTTTGCTCCGTCTTAGCCGAAATTATGCACAGCATGTCGTTAGTTATTAGCCAGCCAGGACTATTGAGAAGGCGTAGCACAAAGGTGCGTTGGAAGGGCCTTGGTTCCCAGCCATCGGAGGTGATCTCCTTAAAGTATCCTGTCACAGTAAAGATGCGCAAAGTTGGAGTAAACACCTGGATGTCCAGCCCGGCATTGTCGCGGCTTGTCATCATTGAAGGCAAGCGGCTTAACGCGAGAAGCACAGCCGGGCTGCCCATTTGTAGCCTGGCATTGCGGGCAAAGGTTGAGCAGTGGCGCTTCTGGTTTCTGTTGTACATTTGATAGGCGCACAAAAGATCCAGCTGTACGGGAGCACTTAGCGAGAACATGGCTTCGTCGTGGTAGTACTCCTTAAGCTGTGAGCGATGTGCTGGTTCGTCAAACATATTGTAGTACAAACTAATGAAGTTATTGCAGAACTTCAAGCCATTACTTCCACCACTCTGGAATTGTTGAAACTTGGGTAGAGTTTCAGCCACATTTACATTTTCCTCAGGCTGGACGCAACCATGAACGTTTTTCAATTGGGGCAGCATCTGTCGAATGTCGTCCGTCTTTAGCTTAGCCAGACCGTTTCCTGACAGGTACATGGTCTTGAAATGCAGTCTCTTCAGGTAATTGAGCTCGCCCAAATCCTTGATCCTATTTGCGCTTATATCCAAGCGCTCCAGGCTGGCAAAGTTATGGGCAATGCCGGCAAAGGCCTTCAGAGTGCACAAATAGTTGTTGCTCAGTACAATGCCGGTCAGTTGGGGGAACACGTGTCCTGCTAGGACGAGCACGCTCTCCAGCAACTTGACCACATGCAGCGGACAGAAATGAAGGCGCAGCTCAGGGCTGGCGTGGAAACGGGAGAGATCTAGGGTACGAGTGGCCGGTTCATAGCGCAATTTTATAGCCGCCTCCATGGCAGTGGTGAATTCCTCAGTTATCTGGGCGTTAATCACGGATTTGGGCAGACCCGGTGTTACCTGCACCTCGATCTTCTGGCGCGTGTAGAGAACGGCCACTTCCTCTTGCAGGCGCTTCAAACGATTGGCGCTCAGCAGGTTGTCCACCAGGAACTGACCACGTGCCATCTGGTCCTCCGGTCCGCTGCGCTTGAAGTTAAATATCTCCACCTTGACGGGCATCAGTACCCATTTGAGGGCCAAATAAATGGACGAATTGGAGACGCCGGCGCAGTTGGCTATGTTCACCGTGGACCAGCCGGTGACGGTGGCCAGGCGGTGCTCCTCTTCGGTGGAGGAGATCGTGTCCAGCACGGAGCCCATTCGCTCCTCATCACCGAGCATCTTTTGTACATACTCGCGAAATCGGGTTTTGTCATTCAGATTCTTGCGCAGATCGTTCAGCTGGGACTGCGGATTCGCCTGCGTCTTCAGGGTCACGCTCAGTCGGTTGACCGTATTGCAGGATTTGGAAGTGCCCAGGACTCGCATGGCGGCAGTTTCTCGTAATTATCAGAACACAAAAGCCTTTCGCAGAAATAAACTTCGCAGTTGCCAATTTCCATGCACTTTGTCTAGAAGTTTACCGTTTAAGCAGTGTTGTCAAGGGACGAAAGGACGCTTTGGCACGTGGAGTTTTGCAACACTGCCGCCAAATAAGATCTGGGATTGTGAATTTTACCGTTATAACCGGAGTACTAATTTAAAGTCCGATAATTTCTTTAAAAACTATCAATAAGAATTTAGTTTAGTCACTTTAGTGGCAAATAATCGATTGTAAAGTGAAGTATCACTTAAATCATTACCTAACAATTATGGGAAAAATATTTGTTTCGGTTTTCAAAGCTTTGCTCGTTTTCTAAACAAACGTATTAATTTTCTAGCTTGAGTAAGTTTTCAACTATCAGATAGCACATTGATAAAAATATATGACGTATTGTCAATGAATATGACCTTCCTATTCAAATCTTATCGTTCAAAAATAATTCCATAGGTTTATAACTATTATTATACTACATGTATTACCCCTGTATTACTACTGAACGTTGAACTTTGGGCATATGATATTATTTTATTTGATTACTGATAGTGCTGACGCTCATTCCTGTTCGAAAAATCATTAAATAAAGCTCGGCATGACCGCATTCGCACGCATTAAATCACGCAATCGATTTTTGATCCTCTCCTCCAGTTCGATAATTGTTTTATTTAAAGTGTTTTGCGTATCGCTCGATTGACTTTCGCTGGCTGGGCAGGAAGTAAATTGGATTTATATAATGTTGGCATATTATGCGAGATTCTTGCCATATTAGCATAGCCAGTTTTTTATTTTTCTTATTTTTGCCGTACCACGCACAGCTGTTCGAAATGGGAGCGTGTGTGTGTGTGCGCCTTTGGGGCTTGATTAATTACCGTAACAATAACATTGGCGCTGATGCCAATTATGGCAATCGGCCACTTGGAAGACAACGGTAAGTGCTGGCCAAGTAATAAACCGCCCACATGCGACCCGAACTTTGTCAACGTAGCCGCCGGACCGCCAGAGTTTAACCCAAATTTGTTTTTTTTTAGAAAGCGCAACTGCATAAAAAGTGCTGCACATGTGTGTGACTTTGATTGTGAGTGCCAGAGCGAGTGTGTGGGTGCATCGGTATGCGTGTGGAAAGGCTTACCCTCGTTGTTGTACTGCAAGTGTAATTGCAACGGCGGCTGGTTGTTCGTCTTCCACTGCTGCAATATGTTGGAGACATCGTCGTGGGTCTTATCCGCCAGAAATCTGCCAAGGAGTACCAGGCATATATGAGTATTTATAGCATCGCTGCCTCTGCTGTGCCAGCAACATCAGCAGCAACAACAACACAGAAACAACAGGAGTGCATCACTCACATATATGAATCATCCTTTAGTGCCTCATCGATGTCCAGGATATCCATGTCCAGCGATGGGATGCGTGAATCTTTATGCTTAGTTTAAAACACTTGGGTTGAAGACCTAATTCATTGCGAGGAACGACAACAAAAAGGCCTTCGCTCGCTTGTTTAATACAAGATACCAATTTTGCTCAACGCAGATAGAGATGAGCGATATCCGCGAGTTCGTCACGAGTCACGAGTATTTTTATCCGATGAGTCACTGAAGTGAATGAAAGCGAAAGGGAAGCAACATAATAGTATAAAAAAGGAAAAAAATACAAACGTTGTACATAAAAAGTAAATATTTAATTTCAGAATTATGTAATTTCATAAAAAACGATTTTTTGAGTAAGGATAGTACCAGGGCCTTTGTTTCATGATCTTTTGTAGCGAAAAAATTACTTATTAAATATTTAGTTTTGTAGACCAGTAACAAGTTAATTTATTTATATTACTATATTTTTGTTTATTCTTTATTGACTATTATAACTGATCACTTTTTAAATCTGATCAGTACAGTTCACAGTCACAGTTTCCCTCACGACGTTAATAGAGATGCAAAGTGAAGCGACGGTAACCATCGGCCAATCATTGCGAACAGCTGACAACCCTGCTCAAATACGTTCACATTGACTATTTGGCAGAAAGTGCAAAACAGTTCTTGAAATTTTTGAAATTCCGGCCGTTTTTGGTTGGAAAATCGTTGTGGAAAATGGATAGATCATCGGTGGGCACCATGGGAAAGAACTGCCGCGCCTGCGCCGAACACTCGCCCGTACTGGTGGATCTTTTTTCTACGGATATCTGCGACCCACCCGTTTGGGAAATGCTGAACTCCTTTCTCCCCGAGAACTGTCGCGTCAACCGAGATGCGATGCCACAGAAGATCTGTCCCTCTTGCCTAGTGGCCACCCAAAATGCCTTTCACTTCAGGCACAAGTGCGAGCAGAGTTTCCAGTACTTTGCCCACCTCCTCCAGCTGCACAATCCCGCTCCCACTAACCAGGGTAGAACTCGGAGCAGAAAGGGTGATAAGAATCAACTAGTGGATTTCGAGATAGTTGGCTGCGAGGATCCGCTGGACACGAATGTTTCTGGAAAGGAGGGGGATCGGCTTGCTTTGAAAACGGATAATGATTTCGAGCCAACGGATGGCTTGCCAAATAAGGAACAGGACGATCAACCACTGCAGGAAGTCTTTGAAAGTAGGTCTATCAGACATGTAGTGGTAATAACACTGCTTTGGGCCACTCCTTGAATCCTTTTACGTTAACTAAATAAGGTTGTGTTAAGTAAAGTCATTTCTCTTAATATTTCAGTAACTATGAGCGATATAAAAACTGAAGAAGAATTGTCCAACGGTGAGACATTCGAAGATGCCTTTGCAGAAGACGACAATAATGTTGAAGAAAGTGAAGAAGAATCTGATGAATGGTCACCTAGCTGGTCGGACCAAGAGGACGAAGAGGAGACCTGGATGCAAGGCAAGGGAGAGCCATTAACGACCGACGACAAAAATCAGTCGCTGCTGTGCACAGAGTGTGGAGTGACTTTTTCGTCGCAGAAGGCGTTGCAGAAGCACATTGCTAGGCACAAGGCGCAGGATGATCCACAAAAGCCGCACCTGTGCGACTTCTGCGGCAGAGGATTCCGTACCAACGCCCAGCTAACAACCCACAGGCGCAAGCACACCGGAGAGCGTCCTTTCAAATGCCCCCTCTGCCCAAAAGAGTACACCCATGGTCCTACCCTAAAGTCGCACATGCTCACCCACGACGAGCAGAAAGCTCACAAGTGTCCACAGTGTGATAAGACCTTTTACACTAGGGGCAACCTTAGGGCCCATATAAAACGGCACACTGGCGAAAGACCATATGAGTGTCCAGAATGTCATCAGACCTTTACGAAAAACTCGGGCCTTAAATTGCACAGTCGGCTGCATAAGGAGGAAAAGCCCTTTAAATGTGAGCTCTGCGGCAAAGGATTTGTCCAGAACCAGCATTTGATCACCCACTTGCGGGTCCACAACGGGGATCGGCCGTTCAAGTGTCCTGACTGCGACAAGTCGTTCTTCGAGAAATCCAACATGATAAAGCATCAGCGCACGCACTCGGGTGTTAAGCCTTTCAAATGCGAGGAGTGCGGCCAAGCATTCTCGCACAACCATCACCTGAAGAGTCACCTACGCATCCACACCGGAGAAAAGCCCTACAAGTGTGATCAGTGTGGCAAGGGCTTCTGTGCGAATCAGTCTCTTGCAAAGCATGTCCTTTGGCATGTGGAAAACAACGATCGGCCCTTCAAATGTACCAAATGCCCCAAAGCCTTTGACTCACTGCAGAGTTTACGGGGCCACGATAAGGCGCACAGAAAGCCCGTTGAGCCGAAAACGCTGCATCAATGTCCACACTGCGATGTCAGGTTTGCCTTAAAGAAGACATTGGACAAGCATATTGGTAGTCATAAGATTCGGCCCCACCCATGTCCGCATTGTGACGAAGGATTCTTCTCCGAGAAGAGCTTTAACAAACACCTCCGCGTGCACAAATCGAAGGAATAAAAGTAGCTTTCCATTTTGACACGAAATGTATTATATCATACTACCATGTTCAAATATTCTTCCACAAACGTGGAATCAAAAAAGATCATTTTTAAACCTATTATAAGTTTTAATAAGTTGTTTGTTACAAGTATACCTAAGAATTTATTTTTAATGAAGTGTCAATTGAATTGAAAAATATAAATGTCAAAAATAGGGATGTAGTATATTCGTAAGTTTATTGGTAAGTTATGTTATTTAAACAATCTAAAATTTCATTGTCCGTTCATTAAGGCAAGTTTTGTCTGCTGCACAGTTTCTAACATTTTCTGCGCTCCTTCCGATTGCCAGCATGATGAATATTTCTATTTGCTATAACATAAATGCCTTGCTTACAATTATATTTGCTTACGTACAGATTTTGATTTTCATTTCACTTTGATTTTGATGAATCGCAACAGTTTCTCCCGAGAAGTGCTGGCTTTTTAAGCCTTCAACATAAAGGCGCGATATGTTTTTTTTTTTTTGATTATCAGTTAACAGTATAGACCTAAACGGACCCAACAAGTAACGCCTCAGGTCTTAGGAAAAACATAAAATTTCTTTAGCGATTCCGGATTACTTGTGGGGTCCATTTGAGGATTTTAGAACAATTCTGGACAAAACTAAATAGAGAGATAGAGGGGCAAAGCGTTCGCCTAGACAATTTGTCTTTAAACGTAGGTACAAATACGGTTACATTACAGTAATTACAATAGGTACAATAATCATATCGAATATGCGGTAAGTGTTTAAAATTAATAAAGCGTAATTAGATAGATTTCACTACGAACAGAAGAAGGGCGATGCTTCCAGTATACAAATAACAATAAAGTACAATACCTATAATGCCTAGACTCCTCCGATTTGTGTGTGTTGTTTGTTGTGTATAAATATAAATATTAAAAATATATAGATCTGTCCTACATTAAGAACAGGAGGGTGGCGTATACCTTCCAGCGGGTAGTGAGGTTTGTCCAATTACCGCTGAAATAAACTCCAGAGTTTGTAGCTGGTGACCCGCTTGGCCAGATTGGCGGCGGCACTGCTGGGCGGCGATGGGGCGGATGACTCGGCGGCCATCGCCCGCCGGTTGTTGATCAGCTTGGAGCGCATCTGCTCGTCGATCAGCTCATGCATGTCCATCTGCCACTGTTCCAGCTGTTGTGACAGCTCCACCTTCTGCTGAATGGACTCCAGCAGCTGGCTATTGGCCTGCATAAGCTCCACCCGCGTCTTGGCCAATTCCACCTCGGCCTTGGTGCGACGATCATTCGCCGCATCGCGCTCTGTCTGCGCCTTGGACAGCAGCTCATCCCGATCCGTGTTGTCCTCCAGATCACCACGTGCCTGATCACGCTCCTCCTTGACATTCTGCAGCTCCACGTCCGTCACAGTGACCTTGGCCTCCAGCTGCTGGATGAGCTGATGACTGCGCTTGATCTCATCCTCCTGCTCTAGGACCAGATTGCGCGTCTGGTCCAGCATCTTCTTGAAGTTGCCGGCGTCCAGGTTGAGCAGCAACCGGGTCAGTTCGTCGGACATTGATGAAAGCATGCCTTGGCGGAACTCGATGGCCAGGTGACCGTCCTCGTGGCGCTCCGAGCTCGAAATAGTGTTGTCCATCGACTCCAGCTCCAGCGATATGTCGGAGTTCAGACCTGCAAAGAGAACAATTTGAAATTTCTTGTACTTAAGTAAATATTAACTAATTGGATTTGAAATAAATCTTTAAGATATTATTATCCTTAAGATAAACTACTTCCAAGATATTCCGTTTTTAACTTGCAAAAAAATGTTTGGGAATAATATGAATATAATAATATTGTCTAAATATTAATAATATTAACTTTACAAAACAAACTGCTAGTAACATCAAAAATACTCGCGAATCTATGATTTATCATGACGGAAATTGGATAGTATATTTATGAGGTTAAAATATTTTTGATCTGAATATATTTATCTATAGTTAACATTAACCCACCTGAATCGTCGTCATGGCTCACTTTCAGCGAATCCACCAGGGATTTAAGTTGTATGTAGACGGATCGGGCCTCCACCCACATGTGATTGGGCTTCCCCGTTTCAGTATAGCTGCCATCGTCCTCGTCGCATTCCATTTCGAATTGCAGACTTTTTCTGCCCGGCGTGCTCGAGTTTGTGTCCTGTGGGCAAGGATTGAAAAAGGAATTTAAGCTTTAAATCAAAGTAGATTTAAAATTTGATCTGAATTTTTCAGTCAGAACCGATTGATGTAAGGAAAAAATGTATGTTGTTCGGATAAACCCTTAACAATTTCCTGTAGACGAATTTAGATGAGGTTAGTAGTACTTCCTTAAGGAGCGCATAATGTTTGGTTAATAAATGAGGAATTATTAACTTAAAGAAAGGGACAACTTACGGCACCCAAACGTTCACTGAGTACATTGTTTTCGCGCTGGGAGCGTTCCAGTGCTTGTAAGGTGGTCTGTAATAAGAGAAAGGTATTTTATATGAAATTGCTGCATATAAAACGAAGTAAAACTATAGAAGAACATTATTAATAATTTGTATTACCCTTGACATTGTTTTTAATCTTTTTAGTAATTATTGCAAATGTGTTTTCTCGTATAAAACTGATTAGATACCTTGCCTGAAGACTTCATTAATGAATCCGTGTTAGGAAATATTTATAGAATGGAGTTTAGTCTTTGCTCTTGGTAGAGAAAAAAGAAAGTTGTTGCCGGGGAGATAAACCTGGAATAGGTACTCAAGAAACTGCGCAGTTGGCTTTGCTGGCCCATAAATAATCTTCGGTTGGTGGGTAAATCACGATTCCGTTGACGCGACGTGATAAAGCCAATTCTTATTTTCCTCCTCCGCCACCATTTCCTAATAAAAACTGTTGCTGACTTACCTCTAATTTTGTTTCCTGCTCGCGTGCATGGCGCTCCAGCATGTGAATTCTGTCGGAGGACTCCTCCAGCGATGAGGTGAGGCTCTCCTTCTCCTCCTGGGCCTGCTGCAGGCGGCGCTCCAGCTCCTGACGCTTGCCCGTGGTGAGGTTGAGTTCTGTTTTGATGGACTCCAGGCTGTTGACATGTTCCTAAAGGAAGAAATGGTTGATATCATTTAAATTTAAATATTTTTTAGTATATTAAATCCATAAAAATGGCTTTTCATAAGAGGCAATGCAAGATAATTTGATTTATATTTGAGGGACCCAGATTCCAATATTCGTAATGTTTAAAAAAATTATACTGAGGTTTTTTAAAAATCGTAATAAAAAACCAAAAGATTGCCTCCTCAAAACGTACAAAGATTGAAAGAATATTACAGCTTTGAATATCATTTAATTTCTAATTTAATTTAGTTACAAACCATCTCAATGGTTTTATTTTGTTAACAAAACTTCTGCTTGTTAAGTATTTAATTTGCCTTCTTTATAAAGCTTTATAAAATACATATTCAAAGTACTCAGGAAAGAATGAAATATTTTTGATGTCCATAATTTAAATCGAGTCCTGACAAAAAGAAAACATTTTCTATGATGTTGCTATATACTTTGTATGTCTTACTCTTAGGTATATATGTTAAGTTCAGTGAGCTACGATATTATATTATGAAATATTTTCTTTTTTCATATTTTTATTGTATTAATGGTATTTTGAATATAAAACCCACCTGCAGGCTGCTGTTCCTGTAGTGATACTGGTCCTTCAGCTCTTGGATCTGTGCGCTGAGCTTGAGCTCGGTGGCATGGGCCTCCTGGATCTGTTCGGTGAGGCGTGTGTTCTGGTGCTGCAGCTCGTCGATCAGGATGGTCTTCTCCTTCTCCGCCTGCCTGATGGCCGTGTCCTGGGTCTGCAGCTTGTCCTTCAGCTCGGTGAGATCGGACTGCAGCTCGAGGACCCGCTGATCGCTCTCGTCCTCGGCGATCGCTAGCTTTTGGCGCAGCACATGCTTCTCCTGCTCGAGTTTCTGCAAAGGGGCAAACAACAAAAAATGAAAGTTAATTGTGTGTTCATTTGGCGTATTGTTGGTTCTATGACGTGTTGTCAATTATATGGCAGTCAGTCAGTCAAGACAATGAAAGTAGAGCCAACAATGGGCACGTACACAGTCGCAGTGCTCGACGCCAGGCAAAACCGCAAGGTTAACTCAGCTCTCAGCTCTCGACTACTAATTGTTTAGTTATTTGCATTTACAATTGGCTGCAGGCCGGCAAAGATGCAAAAATAAAAGATAAAAAACAAAACAAAAAAACAAAAGAGTTGCTAGGCACCACCTCTCACTTTATTTGCCATATGCACCAATTTGCCCCACTGTGCCGGCGGCCAAGAGACTCCCAAGCCCCCAAAACAATGCCAACGACTTTTGACACCAACGGCTGCAAAAAGCCAGCCGTCAAAAAGAAACAAATTCCCATTATTCAAATTAAAATGCAATTGAATTTTCACTTCTCCGCTTTGCTGAGATGCGGTTTGCAGACAAATGGCTGGTGAAAAATTAAAAGCGCATCAGCCACCAAGCGTTTGGGAGTTTTCAGCCAATTGTGGATGCACTTGGGAGTTTTAAGAGGGTAGTAAACATTCTTCAATGTAAGTAACTTCCACTATTATTTATACGGCAGTAAAAAATTATAAAGTATATATTTGATTATATTAATTAATGGCCAAAGCAATTCATTAGGTGCATGTAAAAATAAAGTAGCATCTGCATTTTGTATTAATAATCGTTTATTGCTATTTTTAATTGAATTTATGTAACATTTACTACAAAATACGAGTGTCACAAATAATTTATTTAAATTTAAAACAACAAGCTTATATTTCCAAAACGTGACAAAAATTGTTTTACGAAAAATTAAAATAAAATGGGAGATAACTTGGAATAGGTCATCTTTAGTTTTTTCATTAAATTTATTTAGTTTTTGACAGAGGACCATATGCAATTTATTTGAAAGGTTTTGTCTTTAATATCCCTTTTTTTTAATAACACCAAAGACAAAAATAGCGAAACCAATAAGTTTCAAATTGAATCGAAGTGTTAGATCATAAGTGGCCTAAGTATTTTTGTATCATCTCTCTTTATTCTAACATCAAACGAATATAAACGAAGTAGAGACATCCTAAACCGTTTCAATCTGTCCATTCACGTTTTTAATAAACTTAATTGGATTAAAAGCCTTTTCAGGTTGATAAGTGTTAGATCATAAGTGGCCTTAGCATTCTTTTATCATAAACCTCTTTGTTCCAACATCAAACCAATATTAAAGATATAAAGACATCGTAAACCGTTTCAAACTTTTCAATCACGTTTTCAATAACTTAAATTGGATCAAAGGTCTTTTCAGATCGATAAGTGTTGGGCCACAAGTGATCTAAGCCCGCTTTTCGAATGCCACTTGGACTTATCGGTGCGAGAAACGGCAGCAATTAATTTGCATAATTGACAGGCGTGTGTCAGTCTTCGCCAGGTAGCTATGACTAAGGGGCTCTAGCTCGGGGCTATTTGTGTTTTTATAACCCGACCTTTTTGGATCAAGGCTCGTGGAGACATTGAAAATTGCATGCAAAGTTTAATCGATAATTGGACCTTCAATTGGCAAACACTGGCTAGCACAGGCCAAAAGGCCTGAAAAAAATAAAAAGTAAAGAAAATAAAGCCGGCGATAGAACCCCTCAGGCCTTGTAACCAATGCAGCTTCTTTATTTTACTGCCACAACTCGGAAGGCGGAAAAGCCAATGCGACCACGTATCGAGCTGGGGAAAATCACGAGTTTGCAATAAATCTGAGAAGTCAACGCGATTGTTTTGGCCTATCAGCGAAACAGCTGCAAAAACCAAAGAAACAGCACAAGATACATATAAGCGACAACCTAATAAATTGGAGCGACAAAACTGTAAATGAAAAGCTTAAATAAAATTACGGGCAATTTGCATAAAATGCAAAAGACGCCAACGATGCCGAAAAAACCACAAAGTAGTTGTCGCTGCACAAAAGCCCAAAAGCAAAAGGAAAACTGCAGCAACAATGGAAAACTTTAATAACAAAACACAATTGCACTCGCAGAGTTGGATTTTTAAAGTCAGAGGAGACTGAGCAGCCAGAGATAAAGCGAGGCACAAATAAAATTATTGTACATATTGTACTTTCTCTGTTTCTATTTCACGCTCAATGAAATGTGTTGATGATGGCAGCAGCACCACTACAAATGCCACCAGCAGCAGCAGCAACTACAGCAACAGCGGAAGTTGCCATCAGCAACAACACGGAGAAAAAATGTAACACATGTTAATAAAATATCTTAAAGTGTCCCAGCTAAAATTAACTAAGTTAAGAAATTTAAAACCATTTATTATTTAATTTTACAAGACTACCAACATACTACAAGTAACCAAAACATTTTGAGAGCTCTTTTGTCTTGATATCAAGAACGTTTTTTTTTGATAAAATGTGAGAAAATGTTCTTAAATTGACAACAAATGGTCTTGGCTTTACTCTGTTCTCATTTTTTCAGGGTCTTCTTCACTTCGTCTTTCTTAGTAAAGTATCTTATAAAATAATAAATTGAGAGCTCTTTTGTCCTGATATCAAGAACGTTTTTTTTATAAAATATGAGAAAGTGTTCTTAGATTGACAACAAATGATCTTGGCTTTATTCAGTTCACATTTTTCCAGGTTCTTCTTCACTTTTTCTTTCTAAATAAAGTATCTTATAAAATATCCATCTGAATGCTCGTATCTCAAAAATTAATGAACTACACCTAGGTATGTACATCAAAGTTCTTACTGTGTTAAGCAGATAAAAGGCAATGTTTTTTTAATGATGGGACATTGGTTTTTTGTTAATTCTGGGACATTTCAAGCTAATTTTTCTCTCTGTGCATAAACTAGCCGCCACAACAGCAGCCGCTGTGCCGCAAAAAAAAATAAGTTCACATATTCAAAAGCAAAATCATGTGGCAGACTTTAATTGTAGGAAAACTGAAGACGAAATAACAAAACAAAATCAGCCTCAAATTTCATGATGGACAAGCCAGTTTTGTTTTTGCGTTAATTTTATTACGTATTTGTATTTCGGATCTCTTTTTCATCCACGGCTAATTGCATTGCATGATCACCTGAAATGGGATATATGTATGGATCGCATCCAACTCTGTAAACAAACCCGCCCATCCGAACTGGCAACATGTTGCCAGCTCTTTTTTTGTATTTTGCCACCCGTGGTCTATGTGTCTTATTCAAATGCGACGTAACTCGACCCACTTTCCAACTAAACGTTCCGCGGCAATTGTTGTTCATTCGCTGCCATTTTTGAGGTATGAAAATTATAAATATTTGTGCAGCGAAATTTTGTGCAGGAAATGTCGTAGCAATTGACACGCTTAGCGGCATAGACAAACCGGGCGACAGGTGCTCGAAATGCTAAATGACTCATCAATGGGCCAAGTGCTTTCAGGTGCACTTATGCAAATACCTCTCTAATGCTGCCTGAAGTGAGCCAGGTAAATAAAAGGAAATGAATGTGGAGGTCTGATGGTCTCTTTGTTTTGACACTTTATCGCTGAAGAAGTAAGAACTACATTTGATTGCTTTAGAATATAAGTAAATATTTATAATATATTATAAGTGCATGAGGGGTAATTGAAAATACGCCTGAAATATAAGCTATTTATATAATTACTTTGAAAAAAATGTATAAAATAAAAATTAAATAAAAACCATCCCTATTTCTAGAATATTGAGTATACCTTTGGAGGCTGTATCTCTAAAAGTTTGGGCTTTGCTTTGATTCTTAAAATTATAAACAGAATTTTATATATATCTCACAGATACATTTCTATAACTTTTATATTTCTTCCTAAATATCTTAAATATTAAGAATGATTTTTGTTTATCTATCATTCTTTTTATATTTTAAGTTACCCTAAGTTATTTTTGTTGCTTATCAATCTGCCATTGTGGGATATTAATTTTCAGATTGCAGAAAGTTGTTTTGTCTATTCTTCAGATGTCTAAAGTGTAGAAGTCATCGGCTTCAATAGCTCCACTGATGAGTTTGGTGTTGAAAGCGGCGTGCCGCCATGTCGGCAAAATGCATTCGATAATTGTTTTAAAATAATTAACTAAATTGCCAGCCAAGTCGTGTTGGCCCGGCCAGAATCGTGCCAAGGGGCGGCAGGAAGGTGGGCGGGGCTGCTGATGACTCGCTTGAATGCGCTTTGCCGAAGCGATGAGTTGACAAGGCTCGCTTCTTGAGGACGGATGCAACAGGTAAACTGCAGTTTCGAATGTCAAATGAATGGGAATTACCTCAGAAAAAAGAGGGTATACAGAGAAATAAAATACTGAATAACTATAAAGCAACATTAATTCTACAACTTTGTTTAATCAATTCAACACAAGAGTTTTGAGATGTATTTATAGATTTTTATTCATTTAAAATATGTCAAATGAATGGTAATTGCCTCAGAAATTAGAAATTATAAAATGTAACGTGAGGTACTATATAACAATATTAGTCATACAACTTTGATTACGAATCGTTTTAAGAGAGGACCGTTTAGTTTTATTTAAAAATTTAACAACATTTAAAACAGGCATAAAAAATATTTAAATATTTAAAACTTAATCAAATAAAAAGATTATATTTTAAATAAAAGGGCCGATAAAAATAGGACATTATTTTAAATATATTAGCATGAAACACTAAATATATTTATGTTTTTTCCGATTTATTTAAATATTTTGACTATTTTGAATTATAGGTAATAAAAAGCATTAAGGTAATAACAAATAAATAGGTTTTACGAGTTTTTCTTGAATTTTGAAGAACCTTTTTCCCAGAATTGCTTAATAAACTTAGTGTACTGTCAAGTTACGTTAAGTACTAAACCAATTTTACTGAATTTCGTTCTCTGTGCATTAATAAACCTTCGGCTGGCTTAGCTTTTGAATTGCTAAACACTGCAAA